ATTATAATTATGTAAGTGCACTTGATAATAAGATTGCCACTTACCTTGACATAATACCGCTAGGTATCCCATATTCCGAAAGCAAGAAAAATAACATTGAGGCATATATGTGATTGATAAACGCTATAAGGAACAGAAACAATCTAAAAAATTTCAAACGGAACTACCTACTTCTGATAAGACAAAAAGCCTCTGTAAAATTGACTCATATAACATGATATCACTAGACTTCGTCATTACAAAATTACAAGAAATAATTAAGTAAATGACAAATGATTAATGATTAACGTGCACGCACCTATTGAAGAAGACAGCATCTCGAACCCGCACCACGGCAGTCTCTTTCTAAACTTATGCGTTTTCCACAAATGCAAAACCATACTGTCAGATGTGAGATAAAATTTAACAAAAACGGATTTGTTAAAACTGGTTTTATTGACGATAAATAAATTATATTATATTTTAATTTAATTTAATTATAATTTAATTTTAAAATTATATTTAAGTAAATTTAAAAAAAGAAATAAAAATATCTATCGAACGTCCGCTCAGTACGTCAGGTCATGCATTTCTTGTAAGCCACTAAAGGCGCTTTACCATTAGGTATAGTGACGTTGCTGGGCTACCGAAGCAGTAACAATAAATGTGGATACCCAATAGAATATTGACTATTTTATTATTAGACAAATCAATACGATGCACCGCACACCCTACAGCCTTAATATCAATTACAAAGCGAAGAAAACGACATGGACCATGAATAATAAATATTCGTCCTAGATGTTCAGGGCTTGATGTATGTTTCTAGGTCTTATGTACCACCTTTTATTGAACGGTTATAAAACCTTTACTAATGTGCAAAATAAACAGACCTCCTCATTTAATTTGAAAACAAAAATGTCTTTTTTGAACCAAAATGTATAATGCTCATGATGATCATATACATATATAATGTGTAAATAAGTATCCCAAATTGCATTGAGAAAGTGCAAACGCAAATATGTCCACAACGAGTTATTATTTCTAATGGGTAAGAGATATTCTAATGACTATTTTACGTAATTGTGCAACAAAAACGGTTAATAAGTAAATGGTTCAAATACCGTAATGACGAAATTAAATTTGATATTCTAAATAAGCGATTAATAGTGTTGGTAAAAAATGACAAATAAATATGGAAAATGTCCCACCAAAAAAAAGTTATAACAATGGCGGTAAAAAATTTTCGTGGTACTGTTATTTAAACATTCAAATTCAGTTTTGTTAACTTATCTTAGTGTAACAAAACATTGACTATACAATATGAAATTTTGTCTAGTCACATAGACACATAAAACATCAATAATAATTAGTAGTAATAATTCCTTGTGCTTTTCTATCAAAGTTATCAAAAAAAAATATTAAAAAAAAAAACATTCAAAAAACTTTAAATTAATGGTCACATTCGTGGTTGCAGTGGTCACACTCTACAGGGTGGTTGTCAAACAAATTACAGAAGGGTAATTTTGTTAGGAAATACCCCATTGCAATTTAAACGTAGGAATTGTAAATGTTACGAGGGCTTGGATAGTCATATGAAGTATATAGGTAAACGTGAGCCTACCTCAAGCTTTTTAATATTACAGTAGTAAGAAAATGTCAGACGGGGTACCTCAGGGCACGTTACATACGATTCGATTAGCCTATTACACTTAATAAAACCAACCTCGTAATCTTCTGTTCTCCATAATGTATTAATTAGGTGATGATTATTTGCCCATATAACCGTTGTGAGCATAATACACTACTTGAAAACGTGCCAGAAATACTAAAAAATGCATGTTTTTTAAAGAAAGCACTTTGCTAAAATTGATGGAAATTTGGATAAAGGAATACTAAAAGAAACATAGATAGAAAGAAGTTTACGATGGTTATGACGATAGGACGAGGGCAGGAAGAAGAAAAGAAGACTTACTAGGAACTTCATGCTGGTGCATTAACCTAGGGAATTGGCTTCTATATTTCATGACTTTTAACTAACGCACAATTATGTCATGACTTTAGATAGACAAGAGAGTTTTTGTTTTTAAAATCGCAATTTGCTTTCCCATTGTCGTATTCTGGTTTCTATAAGGATGTTGTCGGAAACCCATCCGTGTTATCTAGCGTCATCAATTCATCTTGAAAATAAATATTTTTATGTATAAGGTAAAGTAATGACATATCCTTCAATAGTTTTCAAAGCAAATATCAACTAATATCAATATTATCTGATATGTTTACTAAGTTCTCTTCCCATCAAACGTACACAAGCATTCCAACGCTTAAATAGGTATTTAAACTTAATGAAATCGAGTATTTACAGAATAGTAGTTGTTTAGTACCTACTTTATGTTAAGAAACGTGGTCATAGAAAATTAGGCCAATATCCTAAATAGAAACTAATCCTATCAAATACACGTCTAATAATAAAGACAATCTAACATAGAAATAAATAAAACCTTCAAGAATCCAAACAAGAAGATAAAGAATTATCAATAACCGAGTAATCTCAAGTGATGATGCCTTAAAAATGCAGGCCGTATAAAGTTTTCCTTTAACTTCTAAAAATTAAATAACGTTGGAAAAGTTGGATCTTCATAACTTCGAAGTAATGGCTTGTTTCCCTGGGAGGCTGAAGTTTAATATGTATGTGTGCAAAGCTATGCATTTACTTGTGGCAGTTATAAGGTTGCTGAAACGATAACGAATTGAAAGAAAAATAGGTAGAGACACGGAATCCTTATATAATTATATACCTATGTGTGTTTTTAGGGTAGCAGTGACTTGTATCATCATCATCATCAGGTTATTTTCGTCAACTCATGCGTAAAGGCCTCCCCAATGGCACGTCATTGAGCTCAATCTTCAGCTTTACACATCCAACCAAAGCCAATCGCCCTGCGGAAATCATTGCTTTACTTAGCTGGAGGGTGTCTGACGCTATATTTGCCTAGTCATGGGCTCTACTGAACCCCAGGTCTAATACAACGGCTATCAGAAGATAGAATGCCGGCTGCAGTTTTTTAGGGTGCAAGATCATCAATTGAATCTTACTGACTAAAAACTACGTCGTTCCTTCACCTGCTCCGGGCTGGAGCCACAATAAATTATTACGGGATCCAATTTAAACAAGATATCCATTTCATAAAGTAATAATAAAACGAGAAAGCATTACACCTAATCCATTTAAAGTTTCTACTGCAATTCCCATCGACAATTAAAAAAAATAGCACGTGAACTTGAAAAATGAAGGATGAAGATATTTCTAGCAACACTGGTGTTATTATAAAAACTACATCGTTATCATTTGATAGAAAAACATTAAAACCTATAGCGTTATATTAATCTGGCCACCATTAGCGCAACCATTATTATTAGTCGTGGCACAGTTGTATCATTAGCATGATCTTCATTTTCTATGTGGGTCTAAGTTAGCATTCTACAGTTATAGACTTGCCGGGGTTGCGGGGTAAGCGCAATGAGGCACCGCGACCTCGGCAAAGAGCAGGAGAAGGAACAGGGGGGTTTTTAGTCAGTAAGAGTCTGACACTCCCTCCTGCTCGGCCCTGGGCGGGAGAAGTCATTTGATGATTTTCCCGTTACAAAAAAAAAAAAAGTAAAAAAAAAAACAGTTATAGACTTGGTATCCACTCCAAATTAGCACTCAAACCAAATACTGCTTTCTAAGGGCACGTACTGTGTCCTCCGCTAGTAAACACAAGGGTTGCCAAACAATATATTGTCCACAAGTAATCTTGAACGTATCTTAAGATAGCGGAAGACAGTAATATCATCACAATCAATGAATCATATTAATTTCTTAGTACTATGAACAGTTTGTCTTTGCTCAACTCTTAACCCAAACCTGTATACCTATAGAAAATTTATTGAGTAAAATTTTAAATGTTTACTATACCTAGTCGTTTATCTGTTGGCCAAAGCTAGTGCAGTAAAATAATATGTATTTTATGATATGATGCTTTCAGAGAGAGCCGAGACATTCCTGTGCCGGGACCATGTAATCTGATGTTCGTAATAATCTCCATACAAAGCAAACTGCGACGGTGACTCTAGAGTAACTAATATAACGTTCTAATCAAGGTTGTTAAACAGATAAAGTGCTAATAATACTCCCGTCCTCTGGTCTAAGTAATTAGTTTAAGATCATTGTCCCGTTCCCCAGATTACTTCGCTGTAATGTTAGGACATTTGTTATGTGCTTGGGTACTAAGTAAACCTGAGCTTTATTCTCTACATTTTAGTGTATTCGTACCTCGTGATTTCATTTTAACTTGGTTTAATCTGACACTACAATAATCAATGTAAAGATTATTATTCTAAGCGAGCAAACCAAACCAGGATTCATAAAAACGTTATTTCAAAAAGGAATGTTCAATTTTGTGCAACATTTAGCAGAAAAATACATGGGAATCTCTGTTTCATGGAGCAGTCGCATTGCATTTGTAGTTCTTAGTAATTATGTATACTTAGAATGTGATACAACGAAGTCAACAATTCAAGTAGCAGACCATAAAAGTATAAGAAGAATACCTTGACAACTGTGATGTCACGATATTTAACAAAGTGACTACAAAAAAACCTGCAGCAGTAACTTAACTTCTGTAGGGATTTTTTTCGCAGTATTTTGCAGATTAGTCATCACGTAAATGATGGATTGTAACACGCCGAGATGTTTTATAAATCGCTTTTCCACTGGGATGCTTCAAGATTATTATTATTACGGTGGTTTTATAAGTAAAAGAATTTATCAGACATTATTAATATTGGAACAGAAATTCAAAATAGAAGATTCGTTCTATTACGTTCTTACTTAACGAATACATATTCTACAGAGTCTACACCACAATACCTGTAGTAGCAAAGTACCAACCTTCGAGAAAATGGGTATAATTATGTATCCTTCACACTATTCAAGTAGTAACTGCACTTATAAAACTAAAAACAAAGTTAAGGCTCACCTTATAACACTGCCGACATTATGCCTCGTACAAAACCAATCACAAACACTGAGCCAAACTTTCTAAATTTAAAAATTTGAAGCGCTGTTCAAAGCCTTCGCAGGCTCGGCGGCCAATCGCGGAGGTGGGTGACGGAATGTGACTCTTGCGCAGGTAGAGGTGCGCGTGTTGTAAACCTGCGTTGGTGTGAGTGAATGTAAGTTACAGTATAACGATACGCCGTTGATAATGTGAGTGACGTAGCGAAACATTTAACTCTGACGTTTTAAAAACTTCCGAGGCGCATGGATAGCTCCCATCGAGCTGTGAAGCAGAAGTGATTATGTATTTTTTGTAAATAAATAACAGTGCGCCGTGTTTGCAGCACATCCCTGTGTATGTTTGACGGATGTTATGAAACAGGGCCTTATTTAAGTAATGAATAATCAACTCGCCTCGCACCGTAACTAAGGCTTGATTGTAAAGCATATCTAGTCTTCGTTTTATCTCATCATAACGTAGAAAGTGTGCTGAATTTTTAATTAAATACTGAAGAAAAGAAGACACACGTTACCTAAATTAAAAGAGCTATCTGCTGACGTTGAATCTTCTTAAAAGAAAACAATACCAAATCGGTTAATACATTCGGGTAATACTTACTGTACATATCACTTCATACCTCAATCACAACATAAGGAAACAAGAAATTTAGAAAATCCGAACCTACAGTAGGTATTCGTGATCTCTCTCAACGGTCAATAATTGACGATCCTGAATAATCTTGAGCATCGGTAACTATCATACACATTGTGAAAGCATAAACGATGATGTATGTAGGTACCTAACCTAACCATTGGCCCATATCTGGTTCGTTCAGATCGGGCCGTAAACTACCCTTGCTCGCCGTCCGTAGACCCGCATTTTACAGCGGCTGGAAACTAAGGATGTTAGTTTTCTCACGACTGATCAAGTCTTCCTCTTCGCTAACATGACTGCAGAAAAAGACGGCTTCCCAGTATATGTCGCTCCGTAACAGGGCCGAAATAAGAGCCGGACGGAGGTAGCGAGAACTCACCGCTGTCAATTTCCTGCCCTGAAAACACGAAGGCCCAAGTAGGTCACACTGCGACCATGGGCTCTACGGTGTAATCTAGCTTTCTCTCTTTTTATCCTGTTTGCCGGTAATGAGCATTATGGAGCATTTCGCTGGCCGATGGCATATTGCTAAAGCTATTGCTTCAAAGATGTCATTCCCGACAGATAACCCCCTTTAACCCGTTTGAACCAAAACAGTATAAGATGAATTTTCTTTCAGAACTAAGTTTATCTTGTATTTTCTCAGTTTCCTTCCAAACGTCCCATCTAGACCTTAAAAAATTAAGATACAAAATCGAACATTATGTATGCACTCAGGCGCCAACAACACCAATGGCAAACGAACTACCGTTTATATTGTACCCAGACTTAACACCTCGCTCTCAAAAATAAATAATATTATTACGCCAAAAAACATAAAATATAAACTTGGCAATATAAACAGGCAATATTATATAAGTATTATTTAGGAATGTGTTAGTCTATGCAGAGTCCATTTATTTTAATTTTCCATAATGGTTTGCATTTATTTTATTTACTGTTAATAATATGATAAATAAATAATAAAAAAAACCTAAAGCAAAAATGTTTCACATACGACATGAACGTCACAAATTAGCCGAAAATGAAATATTTACTAGATATTTCCATTCATAAAAGTTACCTTTTCTATAAAATCGCTTTGTTGCGACGGGAAGGACAGACCAACATTTTATATAATTATACATACTTGCCTTTGTGAGCTAGAGACGTAGTACACTTTGAGGTTTGTTGTAGAATTGAATGACTGTCTTCTCCACATTATAAATTCTCAACTCACCCTTTTGACAGCGAAAATACCAATGAAAAATTGATTCCAAGAATTCGCCATCTAGTGCTCAGTAGGCACACCTAGTACTTACCTATTACAGTACAGAGTCACAATAAAACGCAATATTTATTCAATTTCCAATCATTTATTTCACAGAAATTCATATATTGGTGAATTATTCGTAACATTTAAATTTTCTCATACCTAATATAATCAATATAAAATAATAAGCGACATCAATAAAGTAAAAGCCAATTCGTTTCCAGAATCGTAAAAATTACCAAATAAAATTAATTAATTAATGGCAATGATTTCAAGAAAAATTGTAATTCTCCTCCCTTCCCGTATAAGCATTAGTAATCTAAATTAAAAAGAAGACTTTTAAGTGGTAGATGATAAAATACGATATATTTATAGGGACCGATTGACCATTTAAATAATCTACTAGGTTGATTCAAAGACCAAAAATTACTGGTATGAAAAAAATTCAACATTTCTTTCTTTTTATGCGACTTTAATGGTAGGACAATAACCACGCATTAGGTAAAAAAAATCTATCCATATAATCAACTATGTATTCAACTTTAAAACAGCATGAATACTATATTTCAACTTAGTGACAAAAATCTTATATACGTCATATAGAAACGGACAAGTCATTTTAAAATAATAATAAACACCAACTTATTGTAATCGTTAGTGCGCAAATAATATTTACAAATAACTATTATAGTATAAAACTTAACATTAATCACACTTACTGTAGGTAAATCTTAATTAGGACTAAGATAACCATAGTTACCTGTTTGTCTGTTCTGATACTTAACATAGGAATGAATGCCTCATTAATAATTTCAGTTTTTTTAAACCTAAATCAACAATTTGGTAACCTTGGCATTTATAGACAGTACGACGATTCCGTTTATTTTTTTAATTCGACGGAATTATATTTCGTACATTCAAAACACATTAAAATCTCATTAACTCATCATTCATCACATATCATTTATAATAAATGCATTTCATCAATTTAACTACAAACTCGATTTCGATATAAACAAACAGATAGCTCAAATATATTGTTATTCTTTTAGGAAATACTAAACAAAAGTCGATAATGTCAAAACCCTGCACGGACTTTTGCCAAAACTTAATTAACACACCTTACACTAATGACATTTTAAAACAAAATAAAATCTATTTTTTGTAATGTTGATCGATTAAATTGACACTGAACAATATTTTAAAGATCGATTTTAAGGCACCTGTTACTTTGATGGATACATCTTAACATTTTTGTTTCATAAAATAAAATTAAGACACGCAAAGGTTTTTGTGTCACACAATAATCACTCGATAACGCAAAAATTACCAATTAAGTATACAACAAATGATGATGTCACTGACATCTGACAATTCTTTCATATCACAATACGTTCAAGTCAGTCCAGCTATTTATTTTATTTATAACAAATGCATAAATAGGACAGCGCACAACCAACATAGCAATATCTTGCGTAATCGAGGAAATGCAATAAGTCTTTGACTGTAAGTATAATTCAATAAACATAACGCTCATATACGTATCCACGTGTATACATATACTTAGGAAAATATAATAATTTGATTCTGGTTCATGATAATACTTTACCCTGTTAAATACTTTAAAAGCCATTGTGAGCGACTGAGCACCAAGCGGAATGTTAAGATAACTAAGGATACAAAACGTGACCAAACCATAAGTTTACTACATTTTAGTGCTCCGATAATATAATTAATGAGTCATTTACATTAAACGACATAGATATATTAATACAACTATACATATATTAATAAATCTCTTTTTTAAATATATATACTTATATTGCCTGTAATAGGAATCTTCTGTATCACAGATTAGTATAGGTCCAACAAATAAAACTTGTATTCTTAACATTCCTAAAGTAACTCACGTTTATAAGAACAATTTTACAGTTCAGTAATAAAATTTGAGTCGTAAAATGAAAACAAAAAAAATACACTCGCAACAAAATCCAAATCATAACAAAAATAATTCATTTTATACATTTATCAATTAAGCGTAGAATTCTACGATCACTATTATTTGGTGCTAATGGCAGTCTATTTACATAAGATGAACTAAACACAGATACTTAATTGTACAGTTAGAATTACACCACACAACTGCTGCATTCAAGTTAACTCGAGAACTGAATGAGATCTGGATTCGAAGACTAGCACGAGAACGAAAGTCTTCATTATGGTGCGAAGGTCCGTCAATCGTGTAACTACGTAACTATACGTACTTATACACTCAACTGTCTATTTACGAATATTTGAAGTTTAATATTCCCTGAACTGTCGTGCGTTTATCATGACGCTTAAATGCAAATTAATTCACTATGATTGTGCATTGCTACGACATTGTGTGACGAGAGTGACGGAGACCTTGCGACTAGGCCTTGGAAGGTCCTAATTTAACAAGTGGACGAGCTGGACGCCTCTCCTCCTTCTACTGCGTCTTCGGGGGGCGGCGGCAACGGCGCGTCCTCTTCGTAAATCATAACTAACTTGCTGTACTCCCGTTTCCTGCGTGAGGTCTGTCGAAAAATAACATTCTCAATATTAATTTATAAAGTCTAATTACAAGTCAACCTTTAGTTTGACTTAAATTAAAATAGAAAAAATATACCAATATACTAGCAGTTACACCAGCATAGCATAAAGCCATACGAAATAAGGGAGGCAGAAATTTGACCATAGGAATTGCTCCTATATCGTGAATGCGTTCACAATCATACAAATTCACGTACACATACATATTACACACGGAACTGATAGAATTTTCGACTTTTGATATCTTTTAAACACTACATGTTTTCCTGTGTAGAAGAGGAAAGGTTATATCTTAAAAATAAAATTATAGATAAAATAATATGGCGATGACAAAATCGTTACATAAAGGAGCTGTGTGATAAAATATGCGTTTTGCTAGCAATGAAAAAAGTACTCTGCCTTAAAAGACATTCCGTGGAAAATGATGTGTTTACCAGTGGAATATTCCACAACCTAAATGTTTCAAAGCAATTTAAATTTAGAGTATTTATTAAAAAATATCCTAACCGTATGTCTCTTTCCTTCACTTTTTCCAGAGGTTGAGGCTCTGTTTGAAGCAGGCTAGCCAAAAGAAAAAGACATTAGCAGGTGCCCAGTCTTAATTTACATAAAACTCCTTTCTTTCTTTCTTTAGAAACTGCGATTGCTATGAATTCGATGTTTCGCTGTTTATGGTTGCTACACTAACATCATCATAATCTCACATGGATAATTAATGAACATTATTCACCACGCTCAACACGTATTGGTGATGTCAAAAGTATAATTAGATATTTATAACTATATGTTATCCTTCCCTGTCTGTCATTGGTGTCCAAGTAAACAAAAAAAAGATATATGAATCGATAAAAGTCAGAGGTACTGCTTGGTCTTGAGACCGCACGTGAGAAGCGGGGTGCCTAAACCTCCGGGTACAAATCAGTTAACACTTAAACGAGATGAGTAAAGAACTGTGTTTTCTTCTATACCACAGCAAACTATAAAATTGCTCTTGTTAGATGAACGATCTACGACCGACCCGATACGATGACCATACTCTTACTGCAGTATAATAAGAAAAAATTGGAAATTGCGCAAAGTGTTAACCTCCTTAGAGTGTTATTACCCGCTAACAATAAAAGTTTGTATTAGGATTTATAATTAGCAAGCAGATAATTCATACATTGTGAAAAGACTTTCAGAACTACAGATATTCGTTTTAGGATTGTTTTCTTTTCTTACCTTTGTAACGTTGGTGGTGGTTTCTTCGCCGGAACTACTAGAACTAGTGATACCTTCTTCTAAGGTCAGCCTCGCGGCCGCGCCTTCCAATTGAAGGTCTAAGTACAACTGGCTCAGCTGCTCGTTCACTAGAGATGGCTGGAAATAGAGATAAATTATGGAGACATTTAAACTTAATGGAATAAGTACACATCGTACTATTTTTCTATGTCGAAAAGGGGAAACCAAATGAACGAAGTGTCACACAGCCTCGTAGAATACTAGTGAAATGTAATACTTGCTTATTTATTTATATATGTAAATAAAATTAACTAACCTGTTCCAGAGTTTTCATCTTCTGCTTATCAGAAGTCAAAGTCTCCTCCATAGACTTTGTAAGGATTTGGTACTTGTAGACTAACTCTGACGTCACGCATACCTGGAAATTTATTTATGTCAATTATTTATATTATTCACACAACGTGTTAAAATAAAAAATGAAAAATTGTAAACTAGTAAATTAATCGTTAAGTTTCTTTGAACTTTTTTTGAACTTTAACTGTTTGCGTCAAATGTTAAATTATTTGACAGATTTTTTATAGACGAAGACCAAAATTGATCCTTAAATTAATGATTCGATTATTTAGTGATTTATTTTTATTTGACTCATAATTTCTATTAAGTTTAAAGGGTGCAGAATTCTGTAAAGAGTTGTACCTGCTCCAACCATGGTGGGTCCATTTTCCGTCTGGCTACCTTCTTCGTTGGATGAGTTACATGGTATGAAGATGTCAGATTTAGTGGGCTCTGAAATAATATTCTTTTTTATTGTCTGAATAAACAAAAAGAAAAAGAAAAAACTTTTATCAGTAATAATAAAAACAGTAACACCCTCACAACAAATCTTAGTGACCTGCAAGAAATTAACAATACTTTGTCTCAAACTACCGATAAACTCATGATGCCTACATCTTCAAGCCCGATCATATCTACTGCCGACGACGTCTAATTCACGACTATCCTATCATCTGAAATACTCTGTCTTAATGTCTGGGGAAAGGTAGTCGGGAAGGGAAACACAAGGGTGCCACACTACAGGCTGTTGTGATAGGACGGGGCAACGATATGACGTAGTATGAATAGTCATTGACATCTGCGGAAGGAGCTCATGAAATTCAATGAACTTCGGCTGAGAAGATGAAGTAAAGTAATATTTACCCTAGCTTGCTTGTCCTTGCCATTCTTGCCGTCACCACTATCCTCGGCACTACCGGACTCAGTCTTAAAAAAGGAAGAGTAGAAGGACGAGTAGCTAGACTCTCCATCAGTCTTGTCGGGGGTCTCCTCGCTGTTGCCCAGCCGATTCAGCTTGCTGAGGCGACTCTCCCTGGCTGAAGGTGGAGTGTTCGGCACAGCTTCTGTGCTCTGAAGGGAAACACGTCATGTAGACAATGCCATAGTTTTGTTCGCAGACAACATAAAGCTTATTCACATACTAATTTAAAATTCACTATTTATTCTATCAATCAGTTCTAGTCTAGCTAAGAAGGTTCATTGGTACAGCTTATCAAGTTCTACGTGCCGCGTCTCCGGCACAACTTGACATGTAAGCCTTTCAAAAGATCGAAATAATCAAAACTTAATGTTTCTATAAACTCGTGCCAAGCAGATGGATTGCGAAATTCATACCTGGGATATATGGCCGAGTCTAGGCCAATCCTGCCTCGTCGAACGCGTAACCAAGTTAGGCTGTCGTAAGAATACTTATCATTACGGTTTATCATTAACCGCTAAGTACATTTGGAAAGGATCATTACAAACATATAACATGGATATTGTTTGTGTCCTGCAGTGGTTTATGTAGGTAACCTTGTGTTGTGGTCAATATAAAAATAGTGTATCGTGGTTTTTGATTATTTAATCGATCACATTCCTGTTTGGCACGTCACAATAACACAATATCACAAGCGACAGCAACACTGACACAATATCGAGAACGTACGTTCACATAACTGATCTTTTAACGTTGGCAATACCTCCATTAAACTCCTTAATAGATAGAAAATGGATTGAGTTGAGGAGAGGCCTGACGTCTCGACATGCTTCAAAGCATTGATTACTTATTTTAGCCGCCACCTTCTTTGCACTAGGTAAGTCGAGAACGTTTAGTAAAAAGAAGAAAGAAAGACATTAACTTAAAATAAAATGAATAGTTGTAAATATGAGCCACGAGTGCAGCTCTAACCTTAGCGCTCATACTGTTTGACGACCTGATGTCTGTTGAATATATCGTAGACTTCTCGTTCTCACTGTGATTTTTGTGCGTCCCCGACACCTACAAAAGCATTTAAAAAGTGCAAAAGAAAAATCTATACATTGAAACAAAAAATATCAAGAAGCCGAGCATGCATAGAATAAATAAGCAAAGATAGCTTACAAACTGAAAGAAACAAGACTAAATAGTCAAATTGCTATTAACATTACGATATGTACAAGTGTGATCATTTAAATTTGATTGAATGTAATGGCCTGTGAGGTGATCATTTAGTAACATTGTCATAGGAGTGAAACGACTAGTGATGAGTTCGAGTTGTGATTCATCGATGATCTCTTATTTCGACATCTACTTGAGATACTCGTAGTCACCATCACAAGTAATCAAAATAAACAACCATTGTATGAGTAATGCAGTATCTGAATATTCATGTTGATGTAATATGATCGCTAAGATTTTGTTGGCATACCCGATTCAACGCATTTGTAGATGAGTTACTATCTGCGCTGCCGTTGTCTGTTTTTGAAGATGTGCCTTGAGATTCTGCTCTTTTCTTGTCGCGCCACACACCGCCTTGCACCTTGCCTGGCCTCAATGTTAAACTGGGCTTACAAGCCTGTGCAGGTATTCAACAACGGTGAGTTTATCTCGCCTCCGACGGCGAATCAGTTTACTATCAAATGTTATCCTACACTATGCCGAACAGCAGATCAAACATGAGGAAGAAGCAAGGTTTCAGAAGAAAGATATCAAGTTATTTTTGATGTTATAGGAAACGTGCACGAACTTTACGTGGCAGCACAATAGCCGATACCGGAGACGTCTGCGGATAAAAAACACTTTCTATAGCCTTTATCTTACGTGACGTAACATAACCTACTCAATTGTGTTAATTATTAATTTATGTACATTCTAACAACCAAATCCCAGATAGTCATATACATACACCCAATAACCAGTACTGAAGAATAAAAAAATAAAATGGAAAGCTTCAAAATACAAATTATTAAGTAAAGCCTATTTTATACGCAAGTATGTACTTATTATTTATATAAATATTATTTTAATTGAAATTTTATTCCGAATTTTTAAAAAAATATACTTAACATTTATAAAATAAAAAATAAATGTTTTGATACTTTGGACTCGTGCACGCTCCCTATTGACTTTACGTCTGTCCTTTTAAAATTAGCTTCTATTTTTGACTTGCTCTTCTCATAAACAAACCATTTTTAAGTAACTAGGTAGTAAAGTATAATTGTTTTTATTTACTTTGATATCTAATCAATTTAAGCCTCTAGCATAAAATACTTGTGACAAATGTAAAATATTAATTACAAGTGAAGGAATAGTTATAGCGCAGGAAACTTTCGAATGCCAGTAGCGAATGTTTATGCGCGTTACGTGAATCAACAATAAGACATCGGCGACGCACTCGAGTATCGAAGTTACCCCAACTGTGTTAGGGGGTCGCACCATTCAAACGAAATTATTTTGCTTGTGAACAAAACATTCAAAGCATTAAAGTACAAATAAAATCAACGTGATGTTCTTTCTAGATTGTGTAAAACACTAAAACTGTGCAAGTAAGAGTTAGAAATTGTATTGTTGCGTACCTCTTCATAGTTGCTGCTGGTCAACCCTAAAGGGTTCATGGTATTGGTGTACTGTTGCATGGACTGTGCCATCATGTGAGATTGCTGCATGGGGTAGGACATTTGTTGAGCCATTGGCGAGTACATGAACGGCGCTCCGTACATTGGCTGGCTGTACATCATCACTGCAATAGAGTACACAGAATAATAAATAAATAATCGGTTATCAGCCACATTTTGTTATGAATTAATACACATTCTGATTCATGTCTTGAAAATTCTTTCATTAGTAAGAAAAAAACGTACTGGGTGTAGGGAACTGATGCTGACTGCTTGAGGGAATATGGTGATGCACCGAGCTTGTAGGCATCGGCTGCGGGGCGGCCGCCGGCGCGTAGTACATCGGGAACATACCTGCAATGCCATTAAAATCAATATTAAACATACTGCTAAGTTGTGTTCTAATTTCTATATTATAGAGATCACAGCAATTTACAGTCATCATACGCATAATTTTGCAAAGGATTGTGTGTATTTTAAAAGCTCTTGTTTGTCACTGGAAGACTGAGGATATTCACCTGGCACCGCTGGCAACGTGTGCATAGCCTGCATGGGATGAGGCATAGGGCTCATTATAGACATCTGCTGAGGAATCCCTACGCCCAAGATGAACGTGTTCATATTGTTTGCAGGAGGGGTTGGCCAATGATTTGATGCTGTAATGATTTATACATATTATGATTATATTATTAGTATTATTACATAGATTCATACAAACATTAACAAACGCCTTTGTCACGTAAGGTTTGGACTATACATCAATATAAAATTTCTAATATCAAGAAGTAGGAATTTCAGTGTTAGATCCCTACTACGGCTTAAGCTTCCATGAAACTATTGCTTACTTATACAAGCTTGTACCTAGTACATAAAGGCATTCATCCTCAAATAAAACATAAGCTTGTATTTCACTTAATTTAGACGTTTAGTAATTTGAGCTCCATCTACGAAATAGCTAAAATATAATAATTGAAACATGCTGGCTCGAAAAACAGTGATAGTATAAAATTATTGAAATACGAGTTTCATTACACGTTTTAAAATACTAGGAGAAATTCTATAAATAGCTATACGCTCTAAACTACAACACATACTTACTAGCATCTACATACAGTAATCTATACCAAAGTACGCTAAGATACTAACTAAACAATTACAGCCGAAACTAATAACCGATTTCAATACAAATCTCTAGCGTGACTCGAATTTTTGTCAGAAATACAAAAAACAAAACAAAGATTGAAATCAGTTCTTAGCATATGTCATTAATTATGTTACTATGAAAAATAAAGTTTTACCTAATGAGTGAGAAATGTAAGTAGTATAGCCATATAGCTGATACAAAACATGCTTTGTAATATACCTGTAGCCAACTGACCAACAGTGGTAGTAGTTATGCTGGTAGATGGTTGCACGACGGCTGCGTTAGTCGACAGCGTGCGTTTGTTGCGACGCGCCTGTCGCGGTGAAGGGCAGTGATGCTTGTGGGCCCCCGCTTCAGAGTCCATCATTTTAGACGTACGCTTTACGCCATGTGGTTGCTGCAAGTTCAAAATGATGTATAGTCACTCAGTCTATCAATTAAGTTATCTAAGCCAATTATACAAAGATAAAGAGGTAAGTTTTTTAAATCAGTTTATAACAATTTTTAAATATTATTTTTAAAAACCTTTTTTTAATAACTACTAATATTTTTGGGTGTTTTCCTACTAAAAGAGGCCGAATAAAAATCTTTAAAGCGGACTTATGATTTGGCATTGGACATTTGAACAGGACTTCTGATATTATAATGATCAACACTAAATATTATATAAAAAGAGTAGAAGAAACTGGTAGAATTAGTTAAACTATAATGTAACACATTGGACGTTAGTTTCTAACAAGGACCGATGGCAGTCCAAATGTTAATATTAGCAATTGGAGACCTAAAATTATTTTCGTTACCTGGTGCTCAGTATTAGTGGCGCCCGCGCTAGTTGGATGGTATGACGCATTGCAACGCGCCAAGTGCTCCTTCTTCTTCTTCCTAGTCTCATTCGAGTTCTTTTCCCTCTCCCCCTTACTGCTAGAACGAGTCTCTCTATGCATCTTCATTAACTCTTTTTCCATCTCAGCATTGTGCCTAATAAATTTAAACGATCTATAAGAAAAGTTTTTTCTGTACACAATATTAACATAGTAAAAACACATAGGACGGCACAGGTCGATAGATGCATAGGTATAATATGTCATATACTGTATAAATTTACTCATGAAGTAATAAGGAAATCTTAATGTTTAAAGTGTAATTCCACTTTGCGAAGTCCTAATGTTTGCTTATATATTCTAGCTGAATAAAGGGTTAAACATAAGAAAACAAGTCCCCAATAATTATTATTTGAATTTATTGGCAAATGTCTCTTAGTGCTTCATCGAGCGACCCTTTTTGTTGAAGTCTTTACTAACTTGCTAAGCAACGCCTCAGTGAGACGTATTGGTTGGTAATCTCCTAGGGGCATCGCGGGACTGTTACTGCCCATGACCATGCCGTTGGAATCAGACGAACAGGTCATTTCCCCAGAGTCTCCCGAATGCTGCGCCATCGGAGACAGGCAATGACTGCAACAGAACAATACTTTGTAGCACTAATTAACTTACTTAGAATTAGGGTCTACTATTATGTTGTTAGGCACCACCACAGCTATCGATGTGTTATCTATTTGAGCTCGTTATGTTTTTAACATTATCATGATGAAAAGAAATCGGCATTAGTAATACTGAGTATATAACGGACACGACAGTATGCCTGGCAGTTCATGTCATTTCATGTTCATAATTTAAAATCTGCTAGAAGCTCAAACGGATACTACACCAAAGTGGGGCTCCCTACGTCTCACAACGATCCTTGGGGAACTACATGATCTACCAGGGCAAAAATCATTCCATGATGAACATAAAATATATTTCAAACTACATTATATAACGGTAGCACATTACATAAGAAACACACGTACTTTATGATTGGTCTCGGATCTTTCAGTCCGAGAATGTTTTCGCCGGTGACCGTGTTGTAGTCCTCATAGGAGATAGGTTGGTGACTATCGAAATACCTGGACACAAATACAAAACAGTTACAGTGTCACATCTTTACCTAGGCTTCTAAATAATAAAGTCTAACTGATTTTAATTAAGATTATAACTGAGATAGTATTTTTTTTTGCAAATTTGTAACTGAAGTAACTAAACGTTATTAAGGGGGGAATATAGTAAGTAATTATAGTCAATCTTTAGGAGATTTTATATTGACTTGATTGAACTTGATATACGGTTGAATAGCTGATTCATTATAAGGGTTCATTATATCCTTTGAACACCATTTGTAGGGAATACTGGTGCAATAGTGTGTAGGTATCCTCATAAAAATACCATCATCATCAAACATTTAGTCTCAATATATTGTTCTACATTGCAGACTAAGCTATGCTCACAGATCATGTTTCCGTAGACGTGAGAGTATCTTACCTCTGCAGCGTTTCATTATAGTTAAGTTGATTGTAACTCAAAGGAGTCTCAGTGCTAGACTTGCTGTCGTAATAGTCATGGTGTGGGGAAATCCCACCGAGCATAACGGAATCCCTTTCCTGTAAGGAAAAAAAATCGTTTCAAGAAAAGACTTATGAAATTAAGCAAATACGAAACTCTATTGTGTGAATGAACACTTAAGAAAATACGGATTTTCTGTGTGACCTAAATGTTCTTGCTTAAATAAGGCAGTTTGTATAAGTCAACTAACAAATTATGAATACACTGTAAATGCCTATTTCACCATGGCTGGTTAACCGCTATGTTCCAGATAGTCAATAAAGAACGTATTTTTTATAAGCTCTGTGTCTTATTTCTACCTATCACTTCGTATAAAATATTTAAAAATTTTTCATCATACAATTGATAGATACTTAACGCTTATTGTTTTAGCGGGCTCCTAATCCACGCTATTAGGCATGTTTTGTATTCGCAGTAGTACAGGGCCTCCCTGTACTACAACCCAAAAAGTCCTTAGTTAGATTCATAGACGCCTTTAAAAATTTATAAATATGTACAAGAAACATCATAAAACTAAAGTACGAAACTACACCTACCTACCTACTTAGCCTTACAACGGTTCAATTGAAACAAATAAGTAGTTTGAATCGGCTTAGTAAAGAAATCCGAATTGAATTTACAAGAACCCTATACATGTTATATAATCAGTGTTAACGTAACAAGTTATTGAATTGAACAACTCAAACCAACTTATGCTAGTATAATATATTATCATCAACATTCCAGTACGAACACGAAATAACTAAGAGAAGTTGTCAAGAAAAATATGAGCAATATCGTTTTCAAATGTAAATCCGCAGTACTGTAGGTATAACGTAAATAATCCTATTTTACTAACGTACGGGGAAATGGATCACAATGACATATACAAAGTTTACGCAACAAAATAGGATAGGATGTCTGTTATGAAGAACACGTGCTCTCCCGCCCACTCAATGGAGCGCATGTTGGAAAACCATTGCAAAGGTCACGTGGATACCACGCAACATGGATGGAAATGACAAACTTATTGATTGATTACCGTGTCACGTGGGACTCGAAGCCTTCTTACTTTTGCCTTATTTATTTGCACGTAATGACTGCTCATTTTTAATGTGGGCGCAGTTGTTAGGTAATTTAATCAGAGTCAAAGCACAAATCAATTCCCGATTCAACGTAATCTGACATTTACGAAAGTTAGTAAACAGGATCCCATTGCGTTAAGTTTATAAAAAATACAATCCGTCGAATATGTACAAATTTACTATCAGAATAATATGAACAATGTGAACTTACATAGTAACTGTGATCAGGATCGTGAATCTCTAAGCGTAGTTCTTCATCAGTCTTGGGTGCTTCCTCCATTAGACTCTCCATGAACGAGGCAAGGTCTTGACAACGCTTGCTCATCTGTTGCTTCGCTATTTCCGCCGGTTTAGTCAGAGCCTGTACAATTGAATAAGATTAAAATTTCACACAAAATAGCAATCATAGTGTCCACTATAAGGCAAGTACATAATAATGTTATATTGCTAGCTACATAACATGCGATATTATGTAGATGCTTGTCTAAGACAAGGTAAAGCAGACACTATATAATTATGTACACAGACAGTTCAATAATTATGTTTAGCTGCAATTATTGGGAAGTAAAATGTTGGCAAGTAACCGTCAACTCGGTCCCGACTCCCGAGGTAGCATAATGAGCCACGCGCTGATTAAGGGCGGGAACACGTTGCATATAGCCTCCAACACACTTACGAAGTATAAAAAGATGGCGCTTGACTTTAACATACTATACTCGCTGTGCACTTTATTATAATTCCTGGAGAGTTCGATCAACAACGTTAAGATGTGTACTAGTCCAGTAATATGGTCTGGAAATTAGGGTTACCCGGAATGTTTTTCGTTTCATTTTTTGGTTTCCTGCTTTCTATATTGTATTTCGTCTTTGCCTAAGCTATGGGCACCGATATCGTTCACCAAAATTTTGTCAGCCTTATCTCAAGCAATTTCGTTCTATGTCGGCTATACCGACTATGTCATTTCAATGAAAGGCCAAGACTATATCGCAGTTTATGGATTATCAGAAATAACAAACCACGGAATATGACGTTAAGTTATGGTAGCATCCATCACAATTAAATGTGCATTAGGCATAAAAGGGAAACCCCAAACTCATAATTACGAGGTGGCACAAAGGAAATTGTCAATTTTAAAAGCTCGTAGAAAACGTTCCAGGTACTACCAAATTACTGGACAAAAATAGTGTAAAAATAAGCAATAACTAAATAATAGAATTAAAAGAAGTCTAACTTTTCCCGACACCCATTAAAAAGCTCAACTTGAAAGTTCGATACACTCTGTGTAAAGATGTGTCCGTTAACATGAAATTAAATACATAAAATAGCAACTTAACAAAAGCACGAGTAAAAAATTTGAACAAAAAAACCATGCAATAATATACTTCATAGGGCAGTATGTTGCAAAATGTTCTCTTTTGACCTTCATTGGAATAAAATATGATTTCAGGTAAACATAATTAATTAAACAGACGCCACAATTAAGCTAAACATCAAGTTGTACATTTAGATTCAAAGGTTTACCACCCGAATCCAAGAATCCTGTTACAAAAAAGTAAAGTAATATAATGAACAAGGTGTGTCAGTGGAGAGCTGCCGAGTGCCCGGCACAACGAACCACCCTGTCCTGCTATACAGGCAAATTAGTGACGACCATATTATAAGCCCGTAAACGTCCACTGTAATGAACTGATACTTTATAAAAAAAATACTAAAATAATCGAACAATTGAAAACAAACATGTCTATTGTTACTATGATAGTACATACTAATTTCAGAGCAGATCACTTCAAGTGTGATAAGCAATCTCTCAGGTAAAGGCTCACCAATAAATCAGTCAATTTGAAAAGGTCTCGAGGTAAAAAAAACACCTCAATAAACGTCTTTCTTTATACAGCTTCAGCCTTGGTCTACGCTAACTCCCTAACGATTTCTACATTCACTGAAAACCACAAAATGCTCAACAATATTTTTGCTACAAAGCTATTGTTAAATATAACTCCGCTTGCCTCATTCATTGTTCTAATGATGGTTTCTCTCAGCATTTGTGCTTTGTTTTTTTCTTCTTCGGGAATTTTCATTGATTTTTCCGGCTCAGGAGATTGAAACACGTCGGGGTTGGTCGGGCCCTATAAATGAACATTACGAAATCAGTTAATGATTTTGCAACTCAGCTCCGTCACGTTAATTATTACATCACGTATGGATTAAGCACTGTACAATATATTTAGTTTTTTGTTACTTTAAATTGCCTAATTAAGTTCTTTTTTCTTACCTCTAAAATATGATGTTTTCCAATAACGAATTCCAGTTTTTTAGACCAAGGATTGATAAACGATGACCACTCCGTTTCCAGCCGAATATAGTCACCGTTTTGTGTAATCATCCTATAAAAGATCCCATTGTTATAATGTAAACGAAAACGGACTAGCGTTTTACAAGAAGACGAAGTCGAGAAACTAAAAAAAAATATAGTTGACTACAGATTACTAACCTATAAGCCTTAGATCTAGGAAGACCTCCTTCTTTGACGATGGTATCGTATACTTGTCGCAGATACATCAAATCATCAGGGTGGTAGAGCATAAGGGCGTCTTTTTCAGCGAGGTCTTGAGGCAGGTAGCCCAGGTACGGAACGGACTCAGGATCCACATACTCAATGTGACCATTGGCCGCATGTCTTATGACAAAGGGTACTGCTTTCACCACTACTTCGTTCGGCGCTTTAGGAACAAATTATATTATTAACAACTTATTACTGTACTGCAAGGACGCCAATGCAAATGAAGTCTTTGGAAGCTTTAACTGTTTCAGGGAACAATTAACATGATATTGACCGATGCAGTGAATATGCTGAAGGGAGCTTCGGCATATTCACGGACGGACGGCGAACTAAGGAATACTGTCTATTCTTATTACTTTTTGTCTTATGCGATAAAACTACTTTCTTATGCAGCCACTACTGAATATTTTAAGTTAAGATTATAATTAATTCCATCATAATTTTAAGTCACATCAACTCTATGGATCCTTTAGTGTAATTGTTAGCAATGGCATAGCAACCAGTTACAACATAACTTTTATTGAATAGTTTTCATTACGAGCCACGTCATAGTTTCTGCGGATTATTTAATACATTACAAGTTTAAAGAAAACAATGATCATACTTTCAGAATGATTGTACGTATTTGAACATTATTCGCACAGGATCATTTTTTATATGAACAGTAATATATTGTTTTGTAAGAAATTGCAATGGCATACCTTTTCTATCGAAGCGTGAATGTTTTATATGACAATTTTGGTAAAATACTTACTTTTAAACGCTGAGAAAAATGGTGTCGCCTGTATAACCAAGTAGATGACTTTACCCTCTTCGTCACTTATGTTTTTAAAGGTCAGTTTCAGCAAGAACGGCATGAACCCCACAACTCTCTCTTTAACACCGAATCCGGTTGTAAGGCCTCTGTACCGCCTTATCCGACAAACCATAGTCGACACCGCGTTAGCTGGAGATTGAACTGAAGACAAAATATACCATTTACACCGAATCACAATGTCACTAATGAGACCGCATAATAATATCACTCTTTCTCCCTCGTTCCTGATGGTCGATACGACCGTGTAATTGTACTTTAAGTAAAACTTTGCGATTTTCTGTATGGACTATCAGAAACGGGAATAACATGCAATAAGTTTATGTCCTGTCGAAAAACGGGTAATATTCACAGCCAAATATTTTAAACGCAAAGCGAGATAAGCTTAACTACAGCTCACGCGTCATTTTACTAAAGAGGAAACTATTTGTTATAAGAACTTACGGCTCCAGAAACTGCCCCACTACATGGTTTAAAGCAATCATATTCCCAATACCAATAACTACTTAATATAAATAGTTATTAGTTTCACACTCCGATTAAGAACTAAGCAAATAAAAATGCAGCTAACCAAACTAAGTAAAGAAGAGAATTCTGTGTGAGAATTCCCCTTTTTAATTAAACTCCGTGCTATAAGTAATTATGCAAATAAATGCAGAAAAGCTGACAGCAGGAACATAACGCTACTACTAACCTTCATTCAATACCAACCTTCTTGGTCATTCAATTGTGAGTTATATAAAAACCAATGGTATCCAAAACAAATACCAAACAAAAACCTATAAAAATAATTTTGAATTTCAATTACACCGTGGAAGTGAAAGCTGGTTGTGTAAATAAGGCACGAAGTAATACAATGACCAAAAAGGATCAACAAAAATAAAGTTCTACGAACAGATTTAAACAGTTTTAAAAATAACTCCCCTTTATGTATAAGTAATTGGACAACTTCACCACAAGGAAAATAATGACGCTTGTCAGTAATAATCCAGAAGTACTATCGGCCACTCAGGATCAAAGTTCAAATTGCAAAACGGAGATTAACTAGCCAAGCTATTGTTTTATAACTATGAATTTGGACTAGATTAGCCTCACTGATGTTTGAAGTTGAAGTTTTTACATATTTTTATTTCACTGGAGCTATTATTTAAAACTGATATCGTTATTGACTTTATTCCCAAAAATATTTAAGACAAAGTTTTGAAGTAACCAGCATTCACTTTTTCCATCCATGTGCCAATCATTCAATTGAATATCCAGGAACATAATACAATAACGATATACTTTAACGAAAAAAAACTAAAAACAAGCTCGCTAATGTGCAATAGAACACAGAATGTGTAATAGAACACAGAAGCAGTTATTTAAGAGAACTCCGTTTCGTGAAACAGATAACATTTGTCTAGGGAGAAAGGTACGTGTAAGGTTGTACCGTAATCCCTAACAAATGTAAACACAAACATGCATAATATACCTATAACAAATAAGGTACAAAATCGCATAAAACAGTGAATTGGCACAATGGATTCAATAAATAATCAATTTACCTTTTTCTTGCGTACCATTAACAATTTTAGGGACGGCCAAACCATTAGTGATTTGTGATGCAAAGGTGTTGCGATCCTGTAGACAACATTACCATTAATAAAACAGTGACAATGGAGTAAAACCTATTTAAGAATGGAAACTGGCTGAACTTACCCTTGGATGAACGAAGTCGATGAATGACCTTCCAATCCACATGTCTTTGGGGAATCCAAGAGTACTCGTCAATGATGAAGTTGCGTACATAACAACACCATCATGCATAGATATCACGCATGAAAATCCATCCTGTAAATGAGGACCGTCAGAATTATACTCCAGGTCACACGATAACCCTTAACTACTCGACACTAAAGCCGTCTACCTAAACGTTTAAACATAAAATAATACATATACTAATAATTGATTGTTGCCCAAGTTTAACTCCGATCCAGTCACGAGTCTGGAGGAATTATAAAACGAGACCAAATGGCAGTCATAAGAAAATTATGAACAATAAAACAAGGAAAGCTGGCACAGACTTTTTCCCATAGTTTTTTTTTACAAGAGGCACGTTTTTAGCTTAAGTACTTGGTTTTGAAAAGGAAACCGTCCTAACTCCCCGTAACTTCTTAGAAACACTGTTATTTTTTGCCTAAGTACGTCACCAAGTCTTTTTACCGAGGTTCGCACGTTTTATCAAGTTATTAAACGTTCATTTACGAGCGTATACTTTTGCATTCACCTGTTCATAAAACACTACGTCACACGTTAGATGTATGAACAAACATGTATACATATGTAGGTGTGTATACATGTGTATAAAATATTGGCAAATGCGCGCATTGTTTTCTCGCGGTCGAACAGATATTGCCCAAAGCTTTACATCTAGAGATTCCCTGGGAATTGGCACGTTTTTTTTTTTTGTTACAATATCTGTGTACCGGCAGATAGAACAGAGTTTCACCGTTTTTCTATATATTATACAACATCAATTACAAGATAATTACCTTGCAACGCAACTGTTCAGAGCTCTCACATCGCATCTCGAAGCGGCCAATCTCTTGGTATCGTTTACTTTGTACCTTAGGATAGTAAATAGAAAATTAAGTGTTACCGCGGAGACAACCATTTTGTTTATTTGTCGAGTGCGGTTTGTTATAAATTTTGGTGAAATTCTCATTAAATAAATAACTCGATAAACAAAACGAAACGCTATCTATGAGACACAAAATTTGTTGCTGTCGCATATATTTTCTTTTTTATCGACAATGTATTTCAGTACCTAATAGTGGCCGACACTAACATGGGAATCAACACTGATTTTGACACTAATGCAGCTGTCAATAATACTCTCAATTGGGATAACTAACACACCGTTTATAAATATCTCCGGTATTTGAAATAATCACGAAAATTATACGTAGGTACACGTAAAAGAATATCGAAATCGTTAAAGTTGTTCAAGTAAACAAATAAAAGTACTCACCGAGCAATAGGTTGCTTGCAGGGGACGACCGGTAACAAAGTTTGAAGCAGGATTCACCTGAGATATATTGCAAGAAACCACCTAAAAACAAAAACAATATTTTTAATCAACCAAACCTTCTATATAAAAACGTTAATATAATCAAGCTACACTGAATTTAAGTAAATAATAAAGCTAATTTTCTTCCTCAAAAACATTTAAAACCGTAGCCCTCACCATTTTGCCGTCTACTAAATGAAATGTTGAATGAATTAAGCTAAATTGTGAAATGATTGTGTTGTTTGGTTGTTGTTGGCAGCCATAAAGGTATGTCGTCAATGGCAGACGTCAACTAGTTAAGGCGTCGCGCGCCGGTTTGTTTCAAGAGCCATAGTAATGCGTAATGAAACGGGTCGCGCGCGCGGCGCCGACATCGTCACGTTACTAGACATGCAGCCGCGTACTTCAGAACACACTGAATTACCTCTACTGCCAAGATCGCTTTAGACATTAGCAAACCAATTCATTCTAATATTATCAACAAGGGGATTTAAATACATACCTCATCTTTTAAAGTATTCAACTCAGGGGTACATATGTCCATGTTCTCCACTCCCTTCTCTGTTTGCGCATGCGCAGGTGGCAGCGTCGGGATAACTGCACAACAAAAAATTAGACGGAAGATAAAAATGCACCTACGTGCTTTAAGAACATTTTATTATTATCTGAAAAAAAAGAGACAACGACACCGCAACAATAATCTCGTTTAATACTCATATTAAATGAATAAATTGTACATGTACATACCATGCAGTCCAGGTAACAATATGTTTGCCCTGTCTATACTTTACCTCACAACGTATGTATGTACGGTTACTGACCGCAGTGAGTTACAAATCCTGGCTGTTGGAGAACCTATAGAATATATAAGGGGGAAATTCATTAAATAACTGACACGAAGTTTGGAATAACCCTTCGCCTTGGCCTTCTGTAACGATAATTAATAAATCGATTTAATAAAACTTCTGAACCAAAACTACATAGAGTATTGTGTACATATTATTATTGTTTAGTGACCACTTTATCAATCCATTTCTATTTTAACGGGTAAGAAGACCGCGGCGATCTTGATTGGCTTGTATACAAGCAAAAATTGATTTAGTCATTATATATAATTTACTGAGCGAGAGAATTATTGATATTTTTTTATATTTCCTCTAACGCTAATTGCCTCAATATTAAAATTTATTAGTATAGTTTAGTAACTTATAATTTTATCATTAATTATTTTCTTAGTAAGGATTTCCAGCACTTGCAAGATTTGTTTTATTCAGTCACACTAAGCAACACCAGATAATCCATAAAATATTAATTAAAATGTTTGAATAGTGGTATCCAGCTTATAAACATTAAATTCAATGAGCTGTAAGTAATATAAAAACACACAATCAATTAAACACAGATCTTGGATTTCCCTGTTAATTTGAAAAAACAAAATATATATTCAATATGGCATTGTGATCTTCTTCTTGTTAGTTTATGCACAATTTTTGATACAACAGAGTTATTAAATTGGTTTAAAATAGAAGCAAGATATTCTGGAAATATTCAATTATTACTAAAATAATCAAAAAGAAGAAATAATAATTAGAAGGAAAGTTAGAGCTTTGTATAAACGTCTTTCAGTCTGAAACCAAATAGAACTAATGCAAATGTTACTAACCAAACATGTTTTTCGAATAAGATTAGTGTCAACTAAATTATTTCAAAACCTGTTTTGGTTATTAACACGTGCATAGCGTAGTAATTGTGGGATAGGGCGGTTAGGAACCGATTCATTACATTTGACAGGTAACTACATAGTTAAGAAAACACACACCGACTAAGAAGTCGTGTGCGATGCCTGTATAGCCCTAGATGCTCTTATGCTTTCAGAACCAGAATTATATTAACCCTAGAAACTTTATAAACCAATGCTTTTCTCCACGTATTTGTACGAACGGCCCTATATTTCTGTAGTAAATACTTAAAGTGTTCTGGATATTATAAAAAACTATAAATCAGGACTACTTAAGTAAAATTAAGCAAACTAGTTCGCGACCATGGCGTGGTCTTGGATCTTTTTGTTGTATTACTTAAGGTTTTTTTTTAAGGAAAGTAAAAGAGAGAAAGAATGTATCTCGATTGGGTTTAACAATCATAAAAGTGGGCCAGCCTCATAATAGATACATCATAAAAATAATGTATTTCTTATGTTTCTAACTTTCTATATAGTACCGACCTTATTATTTTTCTAGAAATATTAAAAAATATTAGATAGCTTTTATACTATTAAACAGGCTAGATTAAGAGTGGAATCTAAATCGATTACCCCTGATCTAATATTCTATTGTTTCAAAAACTATTTCCCGAATCTCTAATACGTCTCGGTACCTACACCCCATCACAAATTACGACCCTCCGGAAGAACATGCGAAGTAACGACAGCTAAATCAGTAAGTAGATAACAAAATACGAGCTCTACAAAAATACAAAACATTGATCGTGTCACAATAGAAATGACTAAAGCCATACTATGTAAAGGTCTAGAAAAAATAAAAATAACATTTGATATAAAGCTCAGTAGAAGCGGTACCCACCATCTAGCTTATCTTCTTTCGGGGCATCAAATGTAGGGGCCGGTTCGGGCGCCCTGGCCTCCGTTTCCACAACTACATCTGGGACCATTGTTTCAATCTGAGGCTTCTTTTTCTTGGGTTCTTTATCTTTTTTAGGTGGCTGACCCAAGTTGTTGCTAAAGAAAACATAAAGACAAATATAGAAATGTGTACCTAAAGACCACAATTCAATATTTTTGCTTTGAGGAAAATAGAACTTCCGTAGGTATGGTACATTACGCAGGCAGTCAGACGTGTTACGCAATCATCAACATCAATACACACCAAATATAATCGATGGAACATACAAACATCTTGTACTCTTTGCGCTTAAGAACACATTCTTCTTTCAAAAAATGATTTAATCATTATTTCGAGAATGTAAGCGTTATGCAAAAAATCAAATAAAACATATCGTAAATCGACAAATAATGCAGGATAACCGTCCCACTTTATACAAGACCGAGACACAGAACATCCCTGAAAAGTATTTGTTAACAAAAAATCTAATAAAGAAAGTCTTTCTTTTTCAATACAATGCTACCTAAAGAAGTATATTTTGCGAAATGGTTTCAAGCATAACGTTATAATTGCGAAACATTGAAATCACGTTTACCAATAATGAATTCTTTTACAAAGACTTGTTTTTGTTTCAAAGCCCTAGAAAAAATGGTTTAAAGCAACAAAACAATGACTGAAGGAAACAAAGAATTTACTGTTTTCAACATCATGATGTCGCAATTAATTCACGTGTCAAAATAAATTAGGTGGGAAGGTTTTGCTTTCGGAATAAGGCTAAGTGGAAAAAGGTTTTTAGGAAAATAGTAGGAGATTCAAATCCTCGAGAATTATTTTCAAATAGGTAACTAACTATGTAGGTAAGGTTACGTATGTAGTATTGTTACGTAAGCAGCTAGAATAAGGCTTTCGGTATAGGTATACATTACAGTTAGACAGAATATAACCTTAGACTATGATCGATCAATAAGAGTTGAAGAGAGAGTCTGGTTACGAGTAATTCAAGGTTCTAATTAAAATTGTATACGATTACTCTATTTTCATTGAAAATAAACGAACCAAAATGGTATTATTAAGAAAAACTAAGCTTGAGGAAATGAGATAAAAATTGATTATTTTACAAATATGGGTCAAGTCAACTTAGTGTTCAGTTTACTGTCTTAACATTAACAAGTATTTATATGATTATATTTACCTATATGTATTTAAAATTGCATTAATTACCAACTAATTAGACTGAATGACGCGTTCGTGTACTATATAGGAACCGAAAAATAAATGTGCGGACCATAAATAAACGGCATCACGTCACGTTTTTACCCCCGAAGGGGTTAGCTGAAAGCATATACCTATACGTACTATGTAACACCCACTTCCACCAATTCGTTACTAGACTTTTTTTTAGAAAAAACTCGTTTCTATCTGCCCTGCCCGGGAATTCGATGTCTATGCTCGCAACCACTCGACCAACAAAGATCGTGTCTATAAATAACTATAATAACTTAGATTATAAACGAAATTTCAACCATAAATTTTAGTACTGACCTGCTTCCAGATGTAGATGGCTTCCCGCCATAGCCACTGCTTCCACTGGAATTGCTTCCAGAATGTGTAGACTTAGAACTATGACTGAAACAAAACACTTTAATTAGTGACACTCTCAGTAATAATAAATTATTTGTTGAATTTCTTACGGAATAGATCGGCAAACGGGCATATAATTGTCCATAAACAAGACCAGGATAGTAAGAAGTACTTTAAAGGCCTTTTGAGTATTGCATTATTTTACTTTTCCTGATCCGTGGGCCCGTTTACAGACATACAGATTGAGACGACAAAGAGTTGTTCCGAGCGGTAATCGAACTTGAGATACGTTGCAGGCTAATGTTGGAGGGTAAGCTGATTTATTAATTGTTTGTTATATCACAACTGTTTATTAAAACGATCCTGCCCAATCCTTCCCCTTCCCCAATCCCTCCTCAATCCCTAAATCTCCAAATCCCTAATCCCTAAAAGGTCGGCAACGCACTCGTAACTCCTCCGTTGCGAGTGTCCATGGGCGGCGCTGATTGCTTACCATCAGGTAATCCGTCTGATCGTTTGCCGACCAATTACATAAAAAAAAACGATTTAAACAAGTACCTAGAACGAGCGTTTGGTTGCCAACTCTTATTGACTCAAATCACCTCGTTTGTTCTTCAGCTCAGAGTCATGCCGCGGTACATCATCAAGCGTCAGATACTGTAGCTCTTCATTATACTTTGAACTTAACCATCTTAGACTTTCTTATACAGCAATGTAGGGAATCTATCCCATAAAAATATGTAGCATAGCTTTTCTCAGTAGGAGCCGCGAAATTTTAAAGCTAACCTAAAGTATATGCAAGAAATCAGGGTACTACGTTCTTAATAAACACACTGCGGTTATAAAAGAGACAAAGTTCAAAACGTAACTGTGTATTGACGCGTACCATAACGCGGGCGAAAAACAAGTACATATATCTCATAAGCATATTTATTTACTTACATTCCATAATATTGAGATAACGATAGTAAATAAATATATGTAGGTATATCCATGCTACCAATATGCAGTTGCTACATGCGACAGGATAAACTGAGTTAGCGAGGCTATCGCTCTCGGATGCATCTAATGATTGAATGAATCATTCTCTTATAGTGGATTGTATATAATACAATGCAGCTGTATCATAGAGTGCAACATAGCGATACAGGTATAGGGGTTTACACGACACATTCATGTGTGTGTACGTTTCTGCGTCATCGCGTCTGTCTTTATGTCAAAGGTACTATATAAATAATGTTTTAATAAATAGGTTTAGTTAAGACGTTAGACAAAACAAGTGAATGGCAAACAAGACTTTTATCTAGAGTTAAAGTCTAATTTTATTCTATTTGTACAACACGAAATTATTTAACCACTTAAATGTTTTGTTTGGCAAGTCATGTGAATTATGAAACTTATTATTGCAAAAAGAAATCAAGTTTATGCAAAAATTTACTTTAGGAGAAAGAATAAGAAGGCGCTCCCTGTAATAGTGTGATTTGCTTTGTCTGAGATGTGGTGTTGATTGTGCACTTAACAATGGTCGTCGAGCGGAAGTAGGTAATGTGCAACGTGAACGAGAATGAACACAACTGTAAAATGTTACCAAGTCGATTAATCGGATTCGTTTAGAAGGCTGGGGATAATAACTTTTTTTTTACAATATCTGTGTTTAGAACATTGCACATTTGTTTTTCTTTCTTACAGAAGTAAATACTTTCGGCAATATTTTGATATGAAATATTACGTGTAGTCGTGATATATTAGTACATTTTATAGCGAAAGGTAATGACCTGCCCCTTCTAAAATTTAATTAATGTTATCTGTGTTGTTTTTTTTTACTAAGCCAAAAATGTCCATTCATTTACATACTTCAAATAGACCACTTTAGGCATTTTTGAAGGTCTAACAAACTAGAAATATTACAAATTTCATCATTGTGTGTCAATCAGTCGGTATGTACTCTAGTGAAGCGTTTTGCTCGTTACAAAGCATTGGTCTCCATTTCAATGGAGAAGAACGAGCAAAAAACTTCATGGTTACAGTTTTTTCAGTATTCAGGCAACTGACGGATGAAATACATCTAATTTACATCCCCGTCATCATTTCAATTAAGATCGTGTTCAATAGTAATTAGACATATAATAAATACCTACAAACCGCGCAATAACTAGTGTAAAAAATCAATAATTATGTAGAGCTGTGTCGACTTTTAAATAAACAAAAAGAGCATAGGTACCTAAGTATAGATGTTTAAAAAATAGCTTTTAGTCTCTCAAAATAAGCGATATTAATCAAATTAAAAAATACATTAATTTTTAACATATATTAGAAAAAAAAATATAAGATACTCTAAATAATCAAATAGAGTTTCATTTAGTAAATCGGGACATGTGTATACTTAAAAATTTTTTCCTTACATAATGTATCATAATGATGTGTCCGATAAGCTAATAGCAACTAAAGCAGCAGACATTGTGAAACAAAACTAAGGCTGAATGTAACTGCATTGTAGGTAATTTAATTTGCTTCGGAAAAAAGTGTGTAACATTTGCCTTTCTCAGCTTCGTGACCGTAGAGTAGACGTTGCAATAATTCCACATAATTAAAACACTCGTATCACGAAATCAGCGAATACTTAGGTACATTTGTGCATATAATTGGCCTAATGAGGTTTATCCAATATCTAGACATTGAACTCAACAAAGATTGTATTGTAGGTAGCACTTCCTTCCGACTATGAAGCGTTAATGAAAAAAGAGAGATTACGGATATGCATACAACAATCGATATTGTAATAAATTACAACCAAAGAATCAACCCAAAGTTGTTAAGACGATCAAATTCAATTAACGAATGTTTCATGCACACAGCATTAGCGGTACAATCGTATTTAATATTAAACACACGATCCTCGTCAAAATCAGGGTAATTCAAAGTTGCCCCTGAACAATCTGATATTCACAAATAAACTCTCGCAATCGATAAAACGGAGAGTAGGAAAAAATAACGATACGCGGAAGGTTGGCCCGAGGGAATGTCAGGGGAAAGAATTTACAAATAAAGCAGTAACAGTTGGGTTAAATTCGATACTCAAAAACTGAAATTTTCGGAGATTGTATCAAAACATAAAGGGTAGTACATGACATGATATCTTTTAACATCTTGTCTGTCGGTATATGACAAACAATAGAAAACACATTGTCTCGGATCTGCACTCCGGCCATATCACGGATTAAGTTACCAATGAAGTTCCATCATTCATCATATTATATGATTAACAATTTATACAATCGTACCTATAAAACTCATCTTACTTTACTATGGAACCCAGATCGGACATCTTTTAGCTTAAATTATGCGTTTTTTCCCGTAATTTTCACTCAAAAAGGCCGAAACTCAATAGTCAAGATCTGTGGTCAAGATAGTGTGTCAAACAATTAAGCGAAGAGCGACGATTATTAGATTTTATAAAGGACTATCTACTCTCGAGCGGTTTCACCCGCTGCTCGGCTTTATTTAATCGTAGCGTGATGTATTATAGTCTATAGCACTCAGGAACATTGTAGTTTAGCGGTTCCAAAGATTGTTCCCTACATACAAACTTACAAACTTATAAATTTTACCTTTTTATAATATTTGTATAGATAACGCGACGAACATTTCTTTCGTCTAATTTCTGATGGAGAATTTAATGGCAGACTTACAATTTTGACTAAAGGAGTAAGTTATTTCATTTAATATAGCTTCGCAAATCAAGCATTATTATGCTAGTTTAGTCTAAAAAGTCTGATACTTACCTATTTGTATCACACTTTTTTCTAATAAAACGTTTCTTTGGAAGTAAACATTGCTTTAGAACATATTATGGGCTTGTCTTTGAATTTCGTCATACCATTAGCCCTTAAGACAACCTCGTGTAGGTACCGACATTAAACAAGTAAACAACTCTAGGTATGGTAACCAACAAATAATATTGGTGTATCGTTTTTTTTTTATTTAATTGAACGTCGCCTCGCACTAATTAAGACTTTCTCGTGGGTCGTGGGTGCGTTTAAAAAACATACATACCATTTAAATTAATATCACATATTGTGCATCACACAAAGAATTACGGATCCGTACGGAAATCGGGGCAGCAATGCAAATACGCGATGCCTGTTACATATATAATTTATAAATAATACAATGGACAGAACATAATACTTTGACTGAGGTTGGCATAGTGGCTGGGCAACTGGCTACTGTGCAACGTGTCGCGAGTTCGATTCCCGCACGGAACCACGTGATCCACAAATTGTTGTTACGGGTCTGGGTATTTTTTATCTGAATTTGTATGTTTGTAAACGCAGACAGGAGAAGCGCATTAACCAAACCTGAGGAGGATAAAAAAAATGCAAAGAGTCTTTATTCGTTTGTAAATAGTCTCTTTTTAGACTATTACTGGAGTTTTAGTTTCGTAACAATGAGGCTAACTAATCGAAAAGAAAATCCAAATAACGACTCAGCTAGAATTTCAGAACTAAGTAGCAAATGAAAGTTAGGTTGTACGTGTAAAGCTATGTATGTACCTTTGAACACATACTACGCGTGAACCGAAAGGCGCGCCATTATCGCGTTATAACAATGATAACGAAGTACTCGATTAGCTACTCCCACTAAATGCAAGAAAATTATGTTTCATACATCTAAATTGCTCCATACTATAACTATCCTAGGTAACAATAAAGTTCGAAGTTTATTAGGCACGGCGCAGCTAGACACACTAAAGGTCAATGCAAAAAAAAACTTACATTTTCTACCTACAGCAAATTCGTCACTATAATCACCACACTCACTAGTTGCAATAAACACACTAGTAAAAACAAAATTTAAATATCAAAGGCAATATTTCAAGCAAACAACAAAATTAATTTGCTGTGATTACACATTGCAGTGGGTTACAACCCTTAGATACATGTATTAAATGTGCGGTTATTATTTACCGAACACATAACAAGATACATGTTGGACATTATAATGTATTGCATCTTTGGTTAGTAATAAACCACGGAAGAGCGTTCCACCAACGCTTCCTGTCAAACTGCATTCTAGTTATACGTTATGTAATATGCTTATATGCAGATATGGATGCGCCGCCGTAGACGTTACCGATTTTGACAACTCGGATGCTATTGATTTTCCGATGTAAAACGCGTGTCTGTCATCGAAAATATTTCTGTTTTCGAAGCAGAATAATTAATTAAATCATTATTTTTTATAACTGAAATTCAGTTGGTGCGTTCCAGTTATACAATTTAAATTGTAATGTCAATAAATTTCATGACAAACAAATATGAACTCTGTTAAATCTCGCACCGCGAATGTATTATTTTTAGTGTTTGTAAACAAGTGAATTTATAATTGATACCTAGAGGTGTAAATGGTCTGTGTTAATTAACAAAAAAAAAAAAAAATAACATCAGCCTTATCTTAAAATACACCAATAAGACTCAATGAAAATAAACAGTGGCAAAGTTTTGCTATCTTTAAATAATAAACTAGAGTAAATAGTGGTGAATAATTTTCAAAAAGTGGTACTTATGATACAGAGAACAAATTACTCATGTTAATTTCTTACACAATAAATCCTTATTTGTAAGTATCATTGTATAGTTCATTGTTATTGGATGTTAAATGGATACTTTGCTTTCTTACCTCCTTCTAGATTGGCTGTTACTGCAACTGTTTGAGTAAGCTGAATCTGAAATCTTCGCATTGTTCTCTGAATCATCCAAGTTGTCCATGTTGCATTGATCTTCTTTACTGTTGAAAGGAATAAATTCATCAATTTTAGAATTATAATAATAATCCCTGTAATTTGCAAACCGTAGAAATGTTTAAAATTTTGAATGAACTTAAAATTGCTGTGCTTTCATTTAAAAATAACATAATTCATTCGCATTTCGGCAATAGCTTTAAAAAAAGTTTTAAATAAAATTATTGGTTTCATTAGAAAATTAATACTGTAAAGCTGCATAGAAATTTTGGTTCTGAATCTGTATATCCCATCGGGTGCCAAACAGATACCAATAAGATTTTTTAATACTATACACAAAGATGAATATTAGTTGTACGTAAATTCGCAGAAATGAAATATGCAATCGCAACAGTTAGTGACAAAATTCTTGCTTCATTAGATACTCCTTCTTATGCAATGTTGTGCTATGTTCACAATTATGTTTCTCCTAATTAAGTTTTATTAGACAAATGTCGTCTTACATTCCTTCATTAGTAATTTTATTATATTAATTTGGTCTTAAATGTAAACCAATATTGGTAATAATGGACTTATAATTTCACGGAGCAATGAAATTTAAACTGAATATAACTGTTCTCAACATAAATAAATTACATATATCGTAACACGGAAAAATTACTAATGAATGAATATGTATAGACCCCAGCAGATCAACCTACCGCATACTGTCAATATTTTTATTGAATTTTTAACTTTATGGTAAAGGCTGAAGCATTAGAGTTGAAAATCTAATAAATAAGTTTGACAGAAAAGGTAAAGGTGGCCCTGCTTGTATCTATACCTACATCCTAAATCCATAGTTGGTGTTGTATGAAATTTGGTGTAAGTTCCAATGAATGCTTGAATGTACACATTTGTGAGAGCTTTTTTTCTATTCTGCATTAATATTCTTTTAATTTTGGAATAAATTTTATTGGTTATTTATGAGTGTTATTTTTTTCTTCGCTAGCAATAATTTTATTGTGTTATGTAATTGTTTTGAAATATTACTTTGATTCTTTATGTGTATTTTCTATTTGGGTATCCAACAGATAGAATAAAAATGTCACAATATAAAGTTCTAATTAGATTTTAATATTTTATATCATAAGAAACAAATGTTGTTCTGTAGGACTGATGATTTATTCTGCTTATTTTTTGTGGTATTTGTATGTGTCTATAAAGACCTTTGTTAAGATAGTTTTAGGGTAATGTTATCAGTCAAAGCTTCAGTGAATTTTACCCACAGTAAAATAATTGTACTGAAAAGAAACAAATGACAAACTTGGAAATTAAAGTGTATAATATTTCTAGGTGTCAATATCTTTTTAAATTTAAAAATGGAAGCAAATGGTGAGCCCATAGCCCTGCCCAGTGGACTGCCATGGGAAGGTGTTGATGATGATGACAAAACGAAGATACACCTTGTTCTTTTGAATTTTTGCATTATACAATCGCTTTGCAGCTATGATAATTTACATAAAAAATTGTTATTTAACAATGAATAGATGATTTTAATAAGAAATTAAATTTAAAAAATATTACTTTAAAAATTCTTGTCAGAATACAAGTTTAATGTGTGTTCTCAAACTTTTTTGTTTTAATAAGTTTTGAGCAACAATAAAAAGGCCATCGTACTCTTTACATACCTGCACAAGGCACAAGATAGCAGCAATTAATTAATATGGCACATATTTGCCTAAATCACAGTAAATAGGTACCTTTAGTTGTAAATAAATATAATTTAATTGGGCCAATCAAACTGTGGATCTGAGTTCAGCATGTGTACGCGTAGCCTCAACGTAAAAACACAGCTTCATCCTTGACTTATCAATTATCACCATTTAAGCGTAAACCAAAACCTCATTATAAAAAATAACTTTTTAAACTTACAATAGAAACAATTCCGAAATCACGTTATCCTTTTTACGGTAAATATTCAGTTTTCACAAGGATTCACTTCTTTGGGTACTTAATGAAGTTTGTAACGGTAATTAATACGTTGTTATCGTAACAAATTACAGCACTTTTTAACTTTTCATCATTTAATATTGATTGACGAATACAAAGTTTAGCAGCAATACGAGAATAAACGATGAAACGAATGAGTTACGAGTTACTTCTCACAAAACGTTTTGCTAGCCGGAGCCGCTGCTGTTTTGTGTAGTGTTGTTCAAAACTCAACACCGAGTCGGGCGATCATATCGATAAACGTAAATCGATCAGCAGATATTTTATTTAACCGTGTTTACCAAGAAACGGTTCTGGATATCAGATCATTACTTATACTATTATGTACATGTATTTTGAGGTCTGTCTGTCTGCACTAATCAGGCCAGGTTCGAAATGTATTGGAATAAAGAACAAACAGACGACCATTAAATCAAGATGCATAATTCCGTAGTTGATTTTAAATTAATGTTGCATTGTGAACCAGTTGCACAAAGTGAATAAAACTAAAAGACTTACTACACAAAAAAATGCCACTATCGGACGGCTGAGATGAAATCTTAACTAAATGGCAATGTAATTAGGAATCTTCTAACAACTGCCTCCAAACGCTGCCTTTTTATCAGTTATTTGCACCCGTACGTGAATGTTTGGAGAGAACTCTCATCAAGTTTATAGGTATAAGAAGTTCGTTCTTAGGTCGTGAGAGCGAGCGGTGTGACCATACCGGGCTCCATTATCTTAGGGGGTGCCACATAATTATCACGGTCAACTGCGCTTCTCACACATGGGGATCCTTGTTTTTTGTTAGAAGATAATTCCTCTCTTGTAATGAACTTTCGAATCTCTGGGATGCACCGGACTTCAGTGTTTTAATAGCGTTAAGTATGTAGGTACGCTGTAGGGTTACAGGTATATCCTTTTTTTAATATCACGAGGTTTTTAATCGTGTCTCTGTAATCATTATGTTTTTTTTAAATATTTCGAAGACAGATTTAAAAAACTATTAGTTCAATTTATTATTCTCTATTTCGGTTAATTACCTATGTGCCTGGTTACAATAAAATCTTCTAACTGTGTTATCTGTAGGAATTTTCTAAACCTAATTATATACCTACACAATAAAAAAATCTTAAGTGTATGATTTTTTGTAATAAATTCAAATACCTACATTGGTCATCATAAAAGAAAGAAGTATCTCTTATTATGAACTATAATTTCTAATAAATAGCAAAAGTCTAATACGTTTACGTTACTTTAATTGTTTAAGGTAATGCGGAAATAATTTTATCAGAATCACAAAAATGTGTGGCATTAAAAACATCTTCACTAAAATAATCTACATAATCGATACTTCGATATCATTCCACGTAAATAAAGACTTCACAACACTAAGGTTCACGCTCAAAAACACGTGAACAGCGCTGATGGAGTAGGATAGGAGTTCTCTTTCTAGGATTATTCCGAACCGCACGTGGCATGAGAGCGAGAGGGCGATACGTTCGAACGTGTCTAACTCAGTGTCGCGTGGCCATGACGCACTTACAAGTTAGAATGTAGCTCTCTAAAATTATTATGCTGAATTAGGTACAAGACAATCGTTCCCTCCCTTAAAAAAAGTTATAATTTTGGTACCTAATTGCATGATAAAATTAATTTTATATAAGTAATCTGCAAAAATTAAAAGAAATGTTAATTCTTTACTACATAGGTGCCTAAGTTATATGGGAACCTGAATTCTTACATATTTCGTTACCTACGTAGATACCTTCCCAGGAACCTAGTCTAAATAGGTACTCATTGAATTTTGACTCCATCTTAGGATACGCTACTTACATTAGACCATACTGTTATTGCAAACCTGGTTCGTGTCTTTGAAGTAGGTAGTTTAGTAGATACCACATAGGTACTTACTACCGGTACCTACTTATGAGGTTATTATAACTTACTAACAAACCATATCACATAGCAATAGGTACTTAATTCACCCTAATCAACTTCCTTCTAATGAAGCGCCTTACATCATTCACACCAAGTCGCGATACTCGGTATTGGTCTGTATGATCTTGAACAGAAACAGGTGCACCAATTCTTATTCCAGTTCTCTCCGTACCTACCCCAGAATGGTCGATTTGGCTAGTACCAAAAAGGAAACATGAGACTCGCATTTACAAATTCATTGACCGTTGCCTTTTTTTCATTATTAACCTATCATTTAGATAGAACCTACTTCTTACGTCATTGTTTAATAAAAAGTTTAAAGGGGATTCTACGTTCAATAACTACAATAGCACTAGGTAGGCACAACAATTATATTATTATTATTGAGCTACAATTGCTCTACTTGCTCTATTAATTTAGTCTCTGTCATTAAAAAACCTACGGTTGACGTCATTAGACACCTACCTATTTAAATGCTCACGATGCAGACACACTGACTGTATTCAAATAAGAATGTGCCTATGATGATTGGTGTAATCCCTTTCATAAGAAAATAGGACCCCGAGAACGAGAATCCCCTTAGCCAAAGTATCGATTATCGTTCGCTTTAGAATTGAAACAAATGTACAGAAACTCATTTGTATCCCTCAAACTCCACTAGAGCACGAGGACTGTACGTTGCATCGTTAGGTACGTAGGTACCACAGGTACGGCATATAATGACACTAGGAGGCTAGTGTACCTAGATAGCTTTAATCAGTCAGGATAGATACTTATCTAGGTACCTAACTAACTAAAGTGGATCTTACAATACATTTACTGGAATACAATGTTTTGTAAATGCTGAAGAATCTCGAAATACTTACTTAGATACTAATCTGATTATACGGTGATCATACATTTACTAAGATATAGGTAGAAGATGCATCGTTTCAAAAAAGGAACTATTATTTTGCTTAATTATAGGCATTAGGTACCTACCTATAGGCACGAGTAAGTACAAACTTTATATTAGGTACATGTATGCTTTGCTTTACAAATTGAGATCTATAATTTAATTTATCTGTTAGCTCACGTTTGTAGGTTGGTATACAAGCCTGCTCGAGTGGCCTTGTCTGCCTATTCTCTTGCATTTTATTTATCTACGCACCTACTCAGTTACCTTCTTTTACTTAGGTCCTCAGTTCTATGCCCCACCTCAGGTCCTATTGTTATATATTAAACGTCTACCGATATAATACATAGGGAAGTACCCTAACGTTAGTATGTATCCTGCAATAACTGGAACGCACGTGAGCCTTTTTACGTAGACGGTTTTCAGAGCAGGCGCCCCATAACAACTAGCACTTATAAGCTTTAAAAAAGCAGCCTAAATAGGGAACAATAGGTAGTAATTTCATATTTCAATAACCTAACTTTAAAAAAGACAGATGCAGGAAATGCAACACTAGACTTTTATCTTGGGGAACATTCATGATAGGAACACATCTCACCTAGACCCGGAAAAACAATACAAAGCCGCAATAAGAGTCCCGCAAAGAACAATTTATTGTTATTTGCGGGACCGTGCTCGAGACACGTTGTCCGCGTTGTGCAACCATATTACTATATTAGATCATTAGCTATCAGCTGGTAGAGGTTTAGACTCATAAAGTAGAAAGTAAAATTTGTATTTTTGTTGTTTATAATAACAAACTTCTTTAATGACCAGGCACAGAATGTACCTACCTAGGTACCTAATGAGTCATTGAACGTAGCAGTACTTACCTACAGTTCGTAAACTACGCAATGCCACGCGATAGATCCGTGATAATAACACATCTACATTCAAGAGTACGTAACTACCTATAGCTACTTACTTACTACATATATAAAGATGACGGCGACTATATATTGTAAGTAATGTCCAGAAAAAAATATTTTTCTCTTTGTTTTTACACAAGCCATGCTGTCTGAGAATAATTTTATTTCAATGGTTCCCTATCAGGGGTATTCGTTTTTGAGTCCAATTTTTTACTATTTACAGCACCGATGTGTTCTACTAACGAGTGAGTAGCTACAAAAGGGGTTTCGGCCAGTTATTAAAATATAGTACAAGTCAGTAATATAAACTTTATTTTTAAGCCACGGTTTACATAAAATATCAACGATAAGATTTTTTATAAAATATAGAATAGTATAATATAGTATTTATGTCACATCTCACGTAAATTTGTAGTATATTCATGTAAAGTCTGTGCCAAAATCTGTTTAAAGGTATATAGGTATATTTTATCACACATAAAGAATGTTAGAGTTAATACATAGTTACTTATCTACTCATCTACATACGTTTATATGAAAAGTATGTGGGTATTACGTTTCGGTCAGAGTCCGTGCATACAGTGCAATATCAGTATTGCGTAATCGTTTAACTGCTGTTGACGTAAATAGACGTATGGTAAGAACATTTATACAGTACACAATATCGAATACATTAAAATCATGTTAATCTATGGAGTTACAAATTTTTTGACAACATTCAAATTTTTTTTATGAAAATATGGCAGTAAGGGTAACAATAGTCACTGAAGGTATAGGTATTTAACATTCATATACACTACTCACAAAGATATAATATATAAAGATTTAGCAGAGTGAGTTTTAGATAGTACCTAATGTTATAATTTAACATACAAGAAATTAGTCAATTTTCTTATTTTTTATGTTTTGCTGGTGGTATACTCGCAATATGAAAGTTAACTTTACACATAAAGTTACGGCAAGGAATAATAAATTGTATTCATTTACTGGTTTACTTTTGCCTCAAAACTCACTCTGATTTTTTTTCGAGGAAAGGCACGAGCTAACACTAGGATTACAAATGCTTCTTAAATAACACTAACCGACGGCAGCCAACAATAGTGTAGCAATATCTTCGCGAGGAGAGCGGGCTGTTAATTGCATAGTTACCGCTCCTCCAGCCAGGACCAGCCGAGCTCTGACGAGAACGGGCGTTCCACCGCGCCAAACACCGCCACCGCGGATTTCCTTAACTGCGTCTCCTGAGATGGCACCTTTCGGTAGCCCTAAATGTTCACATACGGCTTTGGCAGCTCCTCCTACGTCGGACTGAGATAGGCCAAAAGTGTCACAAGCTTCTTCTGCAGAGGCAGCCCTTTCCCAAGTTGCTTCCCAGTCATCAGAAGCTGCACGTGTCCTGAATTGTTCAGCACAACTTACTTCTATTTCCTCTAATGGGTAAGTATCAGCATATCCTTCTCCTGAATCTGGTAAGCCAGTCGTGGGATCGCAATCGCGAACCACAAACTCCATTGTAGCGCCAAAAGTTCCCAAAGTTTCAATCGGATTTTCAGGAAATTCAAGAACACAAAATACGCTGCCTTGTTTGTCATAAGGCAATTGTTCGCAAGGAACTTCAGTTAACATTTTGTAACCAGGCGCAGCTTCCAATCGTATGTGCACTTTTTCCAGAAGTTGATCGCTCAATGTATTCAGACACTCAAATTGGAAGACCAAATGACGAGCGAAAATATGTTTCACGCATTGAACTCGGTACTCAGTTTCTGGTTCAGTCAAGTCAATAGACTCACATGTTTTAAATATTGGTCCAAGTTTTTCAATGCCAGGAATGACCTTTAATTGATCAGTATATTGCTCTTCACGAGATACAATCGGTGCTCGTGATTCAATTTCAACAGGAGCCTCCTTTGGTTCTTGTGTCTCCTCCGCCAGAGTAGGAACTGTGGCTAAATTGAAAGGTTCAGACAAATCACCATCAGAATCAAGATAATCCTGTAATGCCCTTTCTAGGAGAACAGGATTAGGAATGGGGACATTGATAATATAATCATTGATGAGTTGAGCATCACCAGAATCTAATATTGCGCTATAATATATAGCACGATCTCGTACTTCATCATCATCATCTAATTGACATCTAGCCAAAAGGACGCTTATATTAGGAAATAGCTCTGGACGAGCTGCACCAAAACGGGCAACAGCAGATACAGCGGCAGCGCGTACTGGACCAGACTCCAAAATCACTCTATTATAAATGTATCGAATGTATCTGGATGGCTGACGAGCTTTTGGACCCTCGCGCCCCAAAATATGCAATATACGCACAGCTAACGACGCATGCTCACAGTCTTCAATAAATTCACATAGGTGAGCCAAGCCTGTTTCTTTTGCATCGGGATTTTCTTCTACAAGAGCAATTATTGCATCAGCAATAGCAGTTTTATATTGCAATCCTCCTTCATCACGAAGCATACCAGCCAGAAATGCGGCAAGTGATTGATGTTTACGTGGGTATTTAGAGCACAAGCGCCTAATTGCACGTACCACAACAATTTTGAATTCATCTGAAATTTCTGACATGAAGCTAGAGATCTGTTTCATTAGACGATCGATAGAACTCTCAGCTCCTGTTGCTAGAAGGGTAGTCACAGCTAATGTGGCAACGGAGCGGTTTGGGTCTGAAATTAAATTTTCCAAGTCAACTGCACAGGCTGCTACTGCATTTGGATGTTTTGCTGTTAGTTTAGCAAGTGTCCGAGCACCAGCTAGGCGCATTGTTGCCTTGGAAGAACCACAAAATATTTGCAGCACAGAAACAGCTTGAGCAAGATCACGAGCAGACTTCCTCAAATTTACAATCGCATGTGCAGCTTCATAGACTACAATCTCAGACTTGTGACGCAAGCAGGATTCAATAAAGTCCACATAAACTTCTGAGGCATCACTTTGGTCTTCCTCAGCTAATTTTGCTGCATAACGTATTAGAAGACAAAGAGCATAAGGTGAACGGAGCGGTGTCCGGGCTAGTTTTGTTACAAGTTTCACTGTAGAAAGGCGGTCATTGCGTCGAGCTCCTGCAACCACTGCCAGAGCATGGTATGACACCATTGCATTATCAGATGTAATGACACCCTGAAATAACAGAAAATTAACATTACTATATTTTATATTCAAATTACTAATTGCTGTGCAAAGGTGGATGCAGATACTAAAAGAAAAAATATTAAAATGGATAAGATAAATCATATTTCATAGACATCAATATCACCTAGCTTTGAAAATGCTTACACTTACTTTGAACAATTTAAAATTAATCACATTTGGTATTAATAAAACATGTCATGTGCTTTTTATATTATGTTGAATAAAATAGCAAGCATCTTTGGTTACATGAAAGAAAAGGTAAAACATTTTTGTAATAGGAACACTAGTTTGAAAATTTTTAGATTGTTAACACATAATACAATAGTTTATGAAACAAAATAATTTGCAAAGGCAGCCATGGCTAAAGAAAATTGCAAAAGCATAACACTCCAGTTTCCTTTCATATTATTGTTAGGGGACAATATTTTTAAAACATAATAAGCCTTTAATATTTTCAGAAGCACAGCTAAGTTTTACTTTGTATTACTTTGAATAATTAAAAATAGTGTGAACAAACCTGTGCTTCCATCACCCAGCGCCGTACTAGGTCAGGCACGGTAGCTGATAAGTGAAGAGCCGACACCAGAGCAGCAGAGCTCACTGCAGGATTCTTGTCTACGATGGCTTGTTTCATGTAGCGCTCAATTGCTTGCAACATAGTGCTATCTGTGATTGTACACAGAGCGCGAATGGCTGCAGCGCGGTACAAATCTTCCTTGCCAGTCATATCTTTAGTAAGAGACGATGTTACAATAATAACATCTTGTGCCATGGGACTAAGTTCCTTTATGGTTAGGTATACAAGGCGGCGCAACACCACATCTTTCGATTGAAACAACTTAGTGGTTGCGAAAAATATATCAGTAGCTTCTTGAGTAGTCAGTTTTTCTCCTTGATTTAGCAAATACAAGATTTTTGTAAGGATATGTATACATTTTTTCGGGTTCACTGGTGTTGAGTTAAAGTATCTCGACTCTTGTAAAAGAGTAGTCTTGTCCAAATTTTGGAAAGTACTACCACTATCCTCGTCTTCCTTTTTATCACGGCGACTCATCGTGGATGATCACAATTATCTATTTTTTGTAATAAAGATGTTGATTCAATTAAATGAGAAATTAATCGGACGACACCCGACACGTCAATCACCGATTTAGTGTTGCCAATTTGGCCAATGTAAATTATTACCCAGTTTTAATTCAGTCCATTTAACTTGTTGGATTCATGTGTAAATTATTCCAATAAGAGTTTGAAACACTATTGTGAATTACACGAATTACACGATAAATGGAATAATTATATATTTTGACTTACTTTAGATGCAGATAAAAAATGCACCTTTACATAGACATAACAAAGACGTTTTTATTCTTCTCTGTCGTTTCGCTCTTGGCAGAGCGGTCGTGGTCACGTAGGGGCGTAGGGGGCATCCACATCGGTGGTTAGAGGCGGACACAACTCTCCGCACGAACTCCCGCCATCTCTCCCTGTTGGCAGACTGTCTGGTGCAGTCAGATACACGCGTTCCTACTGCCGATTTAACCTGGTCAGTCCAACGTAAAGGTAATCTTCCGCGTGGTCTCGTCCCTTCCACCTTTCCCGACGTTTTCATACATTTCGGAAACTATCAAATAAAATTTTCTGATTTTCATAAAACTAGTAGGTTTTCTGATTTACATAATTTTAAAGATACACCATATTTTAAATTATGAAAAAAAAACTAAAACAAACGATCACAATATTGTGTGAACTAATCCCAACTTCTGATGTTCGCTTAAATTACTACTAGTAATTATAGGTTAATAATAGGTTCCGTCACGATGGTTTCCGTCGTTATATTATGCCGTATATTTGTAATGAAACTTAAAAATCACGTATAAGTATTATAGGTCTATTTCTAAATCAATGATAACATGCCATGGTGTTTTTTTTGCCGGATATACATTTCACTGCACGCAACGTGGCATGACACACAAGTATGTTTCACCCTTAACCTACGGGTCACGGGATCACCACAAAGAGTAAAGTAAGATGGTGGGCCACCACGTCCATGACAATCTACGTTAAGTAAATAGTAGCTACATACATCATGTACCTCCTGCTAAACAGTTGAAATCAGGCTAGCAGCGCTAAAAATGGTAGAATTTTGGTTAGTAGATTCTTAAAAGCCCCAGTATTCACTTTGCCATTAAAAATTCTTATGTCAGATGTCACTTGTCAGTTCGCGTCGCGGAAAATCGGGGAACTAAAAGGGGTTCAAAATATTTGCTGGAAAATGAAAAATTTACTATTTCATAATAAATGTAAAACGAGTTGAATGTGATGTTTAAAATTTAAATTCGTTTTGCTGTAATACTTGTATTGTGAAAACTGTGCAGTTTCTTTTAATGATGGGCCATACAACTTTTTGTTGTAAGTACTTCATATAACTAGCAAATAACATATTGTACTAAATTAAAACATATATACTTATTTAAGGAACTCAAATATGTGTCTTTGGTGATATGCAGGATGTTTTGTAATAATAAAACACTTTGATTTAAATGTTTTTTATTGATTTACCGATCTACAAATACATTTGTACATGGGTATTTTGAAACGTTTGTGGCGATTTTTTGCCCTAACACTCATTATACATATTATATCAATTTAATTTATAACTACTGTCTTCATAATAGCATCTAAAGAAAGAAGTAATTACTCTATCCATTTATATAATAATATATAATATATATTTTTTAATTTTGGTATTATATACCTATGCATTAAATGGAAATAAAGTCTATAAAAGTACAATAACAGTAATAAATTATAAGTAATCAACAACATTAAAAATCAAAGAAGTGAAATAAACTTAGTGCAATGAATTTATAAAACTAATGACTGACATGGTTATGGATGAAGAGCACTAAAATTATGTGAAATGGGCCTATTTAAGCAGCTGTATCTTATACTTTTACTCAGAAATTCTGAGTTGAGTGAGTAAATAGGGACAAAGATAAATAATTGTCAATGGGATGCCAATAATAAACCTACTTACTTGCTCTTTTTACCCCATGATGATCACTGAAGATGTAAATAGGCCCAAAATTACATCACTTTTTAACATAAATTTTTATGCAGCTGTGTTTTTATATAGCTCAGATGGAAGCATTATTACATAACAGCAGCATTTTTACTTAATTTGGCTACTATTTTAATTATTAAATGACATTTCACTACTAAAGATTTAAAATTATAATATGCATATATATATATGTAAATACAAGTATTCACAACACCCAAAATGGTTATTTAAATACTGATGACCAAAAGTAAGTAAAAAATGCTCAGTTTCAAGAGCTTTTAAGATGAAATACTATATATTATTATATGAGATCAACAAGTACTGATGTATTAAAACATTTATACATTTATCAGCTAATGAATGTTTGTAGTAATTTGTCTACTTGCCACTGAAAATATCCATATTAAAACGGCTCAAGTCTCATCACAATATACAGGACTAGAAGTGCAATAAAATACTAAAGTATTTGATTTCCATCTCCATAAAATGAAAATGCCAATCTAGTATTTTGTTATATACACCTATCTATACCGTGTAAAGTTATATAAAAATCAATTAACATCAAGATTTAAACTTGAAAAAGGTTTTTGGAATCTCATTTGTGACCCATCACAATTTCTGCCTCTGGCATGTGTAATGTGCGTTTTACTTGGTATTTGCCTTATTGATTTATCAAGGAAATACTTCAAGAATTTCAATAAACATATTTTTAACAATTGCAACTACACTTTTTGAAAGTTACATTTTTTAAATGGATTTTGTCCATTTACTACCTCAATCGCAGTAACATTTAACACCATTAGAGCTCTTTTATTTGTATGAATCACTCATAGTTCCAAATATGTAAGTTACTATGTTGTTTATCAAAATTTTGTGTTAATACTTACAAGTCTGAGAAAATAAACTGTTTACATTACATTTCTATGTTATGCTACTCACAACATCCCTTTTGTTCTTATTTTATTTCACTACTAAATAGGTATGAGATTCATGAAATGTGAATGATTTTTTATTAGGAATTTATTTACTATTGATTTCATATTCAAATTTAGGCTATTAAAGTGACATTGGAGTGGTATTTACCAATAGCATCTGGCTCATGCAGATTTTATTTACTAAGAACATTCAGAATTTTAGTGATCTTAGCAGACACTGTTTGACAATATGTATTTGGTTATGACAATTCTGATTATAATGAGCAATTAAACAGTTTGCTTCATTCTGTGCCACACACTTGTTGTGCCTCTTGTGTTACAGATGCACTTAAGTTATAGTGGACTTACGATTGGTAGGCTATAAGCTTTGTTACTACCAGCAGTAATATAAAAAAGGAGAAAATTACTAACGACATATCACACTACTATGTTTAATGGGTCCAGTACTTATGATATAATAGTAGTTGGTCATAAGCTTGACTAGCTTTGCAAACATCATAAATTCACAATATTGTTTCATTGCAACATGATTCCAAATAACAATTCAACACAACTAAATAGATAGGCAGATTAACATCTACAATAATATGTGATTGTTTCTTAATATCATTAAAAAAAATCTAAAATAACTGCTAAGCAGCAAAACAACAATATCACAAGACCGAAAACATTGATTAATGAGTTCTCTTCAATAGATATTTTACTTACATTTAAATAAATAATTGTATAATGTGAAACCTCAACTCAAACATTGATTTACAAGAAACATTTTGATGTTCTGTAATTTTATGGACATTTAAGTGTGTACCAAGTAAAGTGACATGGTGGAATGATAACACATTTATGATTAACATTAATGATACATGTGACAAAGATCACTAAAGAAGTACTTAACAACCTTTTTAGAAAATGGGCATAACTTAAGTCAATTGAATTGGAATATTTTCTTTCTACACTAGAGATTTGGCTTCACATTAATTTATTTTTAATTATTTACACTGCATCAATTTACAAAATTGGTTACCTACTCTTTTTACCGGTAACACAATTTTTACTACAATAATAACACATGTTTTATTCTAATACTTTATACAAGAAACTTTGTCCCAAATATTTCCTGAAATTCTTTTAATAGGACTTTATGAGTTATAAATTTCAGTGGAAACCTGGTTTTCCAATATGCCGTTAGTTGAGTTAGTTTAGTTTTGCTTATAACTCACTGGTCACTTGTTTTAACCTAAAGTACAGTCACTGACAGAATATCCTTTAATTTTGATAACCCAGAATCTTTCTGAAAGTGTCTATGAAAAATCACTTTGTGATAGGTATAGGTATTGCGAGATCAAATAAATTTATCAAAACAGTGACCCAGTAGGTTACTACCGTACTTGAAGTTTTATGTCCAATAATATTCATGCGTAGGTATACTGTTATTATTATATCATTATCTCTACTTACAGAGATGACACTAAATTGGTAAGTTAGTTAATTAGCATGATACCAGTGTCGATGTCTCAAAAATAGTTTTCTACCTATTTTCAAAGGAATGAGGTTCAATTTTGGTCTCCCTTTTTTGGTCTAGTAATTGTGCAACTTCGTTTAAATTTCCTACGGTGGTTGTTATCAGATTGCCTTCTCTAGGCTCTTCTAATCAGTAAGCTGAAGTTACATCTAGTAATTTACACAATAAACACATGAAAGCCAATCTTATTATTATAAAACAATATCTACCGTTTTAATAACATATAAGTAGGTAATATCAGCGAAAGCGATCTTATGGTAACAAACAAAAAAGTTATTGTCTTAAAATATACTAAATAATAAGTAATTTAATAATACTCGATAAGTTTATCCTATTGAAAGTAGAGTTGACTATAACTTTGTCCAGTCAGCCGAGAAATGCTTTTGATTTTGAGTAGCCACGTATCTAATTAACAAGTTCTGTTAGTGGCTTGAATTTTACCATCACATGCTTTATTGACAAACGTGAGTAATCTAAATTAACTTAATCGAATTATAGGCCGGCAATAGGAATCCGTAAACCTAATCTCGTAGGTATTTACAAATACATAGTTCTTGTTTCGAATACTACGTCGCTAATACTTATTTTGGCACTAGTTTTTGGATATTTGCTTGGTAACAAATGGTCCATTGTTTAGCCAAACTTAGAGAAAGTTTCCTGTGTAACAACCCCCTCACCGACAACATAGGCAAGAATTCATGTAATAAACAAACAGCAATAAAGCCTTTTATATCTTTATTACCTCATGAATAGCCTAGTGGTAAATGAACGGGTTGCAAACGCAGCGCAAATACTTACCTACTTAATTATACTTAACTGGTAGGCCCCAATAAGGCCATTTCACGAACAACATCAACAATGAGATCTAAGTTTTAAATATTATATAATATATCCATTATAGATGCATTAAAACTGACCCGCATTTCTGTAGAACAATAATAGACTTCAAATATCTATTGACAGTGTTGAAAAATTGTCGAGTACCTACCTATCTTGATATTAAATTACATGATGGAATTGTTAGAATATTCATAGGTATAGGTTTACGTCTCCGGTATTCAAAGATGTTTTAAAATGTGTGTTATGAGGTTATGTATGAACTTTAATTATTTAAATAGAAATCACATTAACTTTTTATGTAGGCCGTGTCAATTAATTTTTCAGAACACTTTCCTTCTTGGGATGTACCTAATCTTCGTTAGGTATAATAGTTATGTCTTATAAGCAACCCAAAAACAAACATTAGTTTTAGACAATTCTCCACACCTTACACATACCTACGTTAACACATCAGACGATATACTTTTATTTCGTTAAAGTGGGAAATATTTTGTCAAAGATTTGAGAAGCAAACATAGCTTAAAATTCCAGTCGCTAAGAACTCTTACACTGTTTTATAAGGATTTTACAAATACATATCACATTAAAAAAGCAAAATAGGTACATAAATCAATCACATTGGTGACGCAGTATCCACGTAAAAAACCTAATACTTACTTAATAAAATATTTTTATACTTTGGCATATAATTTGGTTTAGAATACCTAACACAATAAATCTTTGGTAAGTAACTTGGTTTAAAAGAGAAGAAAATAAAATCAAATAGAGAGAGATAATGATCAGATCTGTGAAGAGGTTGCGAATAAATTATTGCTTATCTGAACACGCACAAACTTGATTAGATACACACATAGAACTATTATTATTTACATTAATAATTATACAACGAAGACGTGGTGATTTTGTTGTATCGGTCCCAAAAAAGGTTTATATTCACAGAACTACTTATGATTATTCTCACCTAAAACATTTCTGATACTCAAGAATTATAATAACATGGACAAATTACTTTATATACATCGACATATTATTATTAAACCGTTAACGTGACAATGACCATTGAGGGTAAACATTTTATAACTCCTGTTTGTGCAGAGATCGACAACAACTTTCATTTTTTCTTTGTGGGGGTGGCTGTGTTCGCTGGTGGCTGAATACTGACACGGACCTCTCCTGTGGGGCCCACCACGATTCTCACCTGAAATCAAGAAATTAGTATATCTATATTACAATAGGTGAAAAGGGTCTTGGAATTAGTCTAGTAAGGCACTTAAGTATGATGGAGTTCATTATAACATTTTAGCATAAGTAGAATATTTAAAGAATCAATAGAATATTTACCTAGTCCCCCCGTCAGACGTTCATGGCGTAGTAGACGGGGTTAGGGGGAGGTGCCATAGGTGACGTAGCTTGCTGTGCCGATACTCCAGAAGGCGCACCTTCTGGAGCTCCTCTGGCAGCTCGGGAAGGTGACCCTGGTGCCGGTTGGTACATCGGAGCCGCCACCTGTGGGTAGGTGCTAAGCGTTACTAATATTCAACTAGGTATATTCAATCTTTTAGGCCGGCCCCAAACCCATTCGTCCAACATGTGTATCTAGAAAATAGCATTGGCTCCAACGTTTGTGCGACCGTTGGAAGTTGTAAGCGGTGACATAGGTTGGTAGTTTCGGTTAAAGGCCTTAAAATTTATTTTTGTACAATTATTATTATTTGTATGTCTTTACCAGTCACGGGAACACAGGGTCCCGGTCATTTGGGAGGCGCACGAGGGGCCGGAGCTAACTGCGGAATGGCCCTTTATACAACTTTGATCTAAATGAAATGGGACACAAACCGGCGACTATCGCTTATTATTCTCAATTATTATTATTATTAGGCAGCCTGCCTTGTGAAACACTATGCAGTAACTAAACTAAATTTTAATATAATCTCACTCACTTTTTCTGAGTAACAAATCATTTGCTTTCCACCTCCAGGTTGGGGTGCCGGCACAGGCCTGTATCTCGCAGGTGCAGGGCAGAGCGTCTGTAAATGTTTTGGACATTTGTAAACTCTAGTTCATAACAACCTTCGATAGACAAAGAAAGCAAAAATCTTTTCACTTTAGGCTTGCCTACATTCTAGAAAGAAGTTCGCAAATAGTCATCATGAAGTAGACCTACAAATCGTCAATTAAGTAGAATTTGTAATTTATGAATCATCATTGAGTACAGCAAGTAAGTAGCTAATATTTCATGTTACTTATTAGAAATAAATGAGCATTCGCAGCAGTTTGAGGCATATTTATAAAACATGAAAAGTTTTTAAAACATTCACGCAAAAGCAATGCCGAATAGTAAGAATTCACATTCAAATCCCACTAAAGACTTGAGGCAACTACGTTGTATGGTTCAAGAGAAACTCGTTTAAACTCCGAGCTAAGGAAAAGCTAAACTGAAGTTTACTTCTTAGGTGCTAAAGGTATTCTTAGTACACTTTATAAGAGAAAGTCAAGACACTAGGTAGTTAACCCTTTCACACCTTCTAACTAAACTTAGAAAAGTCGATCCTTCTCCTTCCGTCACATTAATTAAAATTTAGCTAGGGAATGTAGGAACAACTTTGAAATGAATTCGCAGTGGTGTTTCACGAGATAATCACTTGAATCGCGGTGCCTGATGCAGCTTTTATGACTAACTGGTGCCCACAACTTTATCTGTGTAAAGTCAAACTTCTCGTCATATCGTTCACGTAATCCGCTACCAACTGCACCTATAGTTTTTAATTTTCCATGGATAAGGTATTTAGTAACTTTTTTTGTTTATTGTTTCCAAAAGTTTCAACAGTTTGCGTTCTTAACGTACGATGTAGTTAAGTTGTGTTTGTCGATACCTAGTTGTAACATTTTTAGTGTAGATAAACTATTTCGATGATAACATGCAGCTGATTGTTATAATGCTCGGCTCGTTATAATACTAGTTGCTAGAAACTTTTAGAAGTCGACATTATAGCAGTAGCAATAAACAGTCGCCAGTAAGCAAAATAAAGGAATATTTTTTGACTTTAGTTGCCACCAACATACTATTATTAATGTTTTAGAAAGTCGCAGTTTTTTAGTTACAATAGGAAGAAAATAGTTGGAGGAAAATTACTAATTTATTTACCTGTAGTTGAAGAGCATGTGTGTAGTGCGCTCGTTGCGGCTGAGCAGCGGCAGGTTGTGGCGTGCTCGCACCGCTGCGAGCTTGTTGCTGGTAGTACGAGTGCATGCGGTTGTCTGTGCACAAACATATTGTTACTTAAAACTAAGTTCCTAACTGATAATACATATGGATATGCGGTAGAACTCACAGTCGTTAGCCTGCTGCCATTGCTGCTGGCCGTAGTCTGCATGGTGCTGGTAATGATAGTGGGAACTGTATGGCAGGTAAAGCAGTTGATGGTGGCTTCGGATTGGCGGTGGAGACTCCGGGCGACGGCAGCGCGGCACCGCACGCACTGGTGATGTTTGCTCAGAGCTCGTTTGGGAGCTGTATAGCTCCTGGCTACTATCCGAACACCTGGAAGAGGTTAGTGGGAGTCATGTTAAGTACGAAGCAATAGGCTTCCGCCGCTAAGGATTTAATATAAATGAAACTATCGACTCGCCCCTGCTTATCAGTCTAATGTAGTCACGCGGTTAGCTACAACCGCCACGGCAATTAAAGGTAGTTATAGTAGGTACCGATTTTGCCGCTCTAAGTACTTTTACATAAGTGTATTTTTCAAATGAACATTCTCCTGACAATAGCAATCCGAAAAATGCGAGCGAAATTGGTTCAGCTGTTCTCCAAATTCGCCCTTAACAATATATTTAGCGATGAAAATTATATTTAGTTAAACTAACGTGGGGGCTAATTAAGTCCTAATGTACGCACTCGCGGCGCTTTTCACCGTTCGCCATACTGTGCGTCATACATTGCTCAGTACGTTTGCGTTTGTGTGGGCGGTGACGAGGTCTGCTGTTGCAATGTACGACAAACGTACAAAGCCCTGCGTGTGCGTAAACGAGACCTTAGAGTGCTTCACAATTAGCAGTCTTAAGACTATTCAATAACTTATTACTTATATTAAGAGTGTTGTTAGATATGTCCTAACACGTCTAGCAATCATGTTTTAAACAAATTATCCTTGAAAGGATCTTTATCTATACTAATATTATAAAGAGGTAAAAGTAAGTTTGTATCTAGGGGGTAATCTTTGGAACCGTTGGTCGGATTGCCAACATTCTTTCACCGGTAGATAGGTAGCTATGCTATATATAATGCTCCCGAGTGCTATAGGCTATAAAACATCACGCTACGATTAAATAGACCTGAGCAGCGGGTGAAACCGCGCAAGAATAGCTAGTAATGAATAAAATCTTACCCGATATTGGCGTAGAGAGAACAATTGCGGTACATGGTCTCCTGTTGCTGCCGCTGTTGCTGGTAGTGTGCGTAGGACGCCATGTTCTGTGCGTGGGCGTAGCACGCGTCCGAGTGCTGTTGCGGCACGGGAGTACTCTGGCACGGTCGCGATGCCATGTAGTCCGACGATTTGGACCTAATACCAATACAGATAATAAATAGATGACGAAAGCGGGAATAAAAAGACGTTTATTACATAAAAACAGTCGTATTTTTTCTTTCGAATTTTAACCAACTTTTTTTACTTAATTAATTAGTATTTGCTCAGTATCAATATTTGAAAAAAAGGTTTCCACTTTAACAATTGAATTGTTATTAAATAGTAGCAAACATATATAAAATCTAACCAGTTCGAATTAGCACTTGTTCTGCTTTGCGGTCGTGAGTTAAGATTGGCTTCCGAATAATAAGGCCAAGAATAGTTGGAGTTTGTGCGTTGGCATGCGTGAGAGGGCGGCATCTGTTGTGGCGTGGTGCCTGGAGAAGGCTGCAATTCGTTCTGCATTTGTTGCAATATATCGTCCGATGCACCAAGCTGTTGCTTTATAGCGATACCCCGAACCGCTGGCCGACGGTGGAAACCTACAACACATCAAATGTTTACATGCCAAGAAAAATAAACTATTAAAAATCTACAGTGAGATAACAAAAAGAACCTTGAAGATACCGCGCAATGAAAAATGCATTTTCTGCTTACCATTTCAACAAAGGAAAACATTTCAAGTTCCCCTAACAATAAAATATCAGTGAACTGTAATGTAGAGTGCAATCGAGCGACGCATTCCTTCGAATGAAGTTAAAAAGATAGAAAATACAGTCGACTTAACGTGTTGCAGGATATTCCAAGAATTTTACTTTAATCTCAGCTTAGGTTAGGTAAGCTAGGAGCTGTTCCAGCCGTCGCGGCGCTAGCTTTTACAACTTTTATACTTTAAATGTCCATTTATAAGGCGATATGAATAATAAATAGGTAGTCTAGTCTAACTAGTCTTTGCTCATTTATACCATAGTCATCGTGCTCATCGTCGCTGCTGACTGGTTGTGACTCCTGGCCGTATCGTTGCCTCAGTCTCTCAGTCCTTGGAGCAGTCGCCCTAGCAAAAGCAGCCAGTCCGTCATCGCCTTCACCAGCTCCTGAGACAAAAACAGACAGTATAAAAATATAGGTATTTGCCATGTGCATTTGTTTATTTTACAATGAATTAGTTTCGAAAGTTTCAGCCAGCAAAAATTAAATTAATAGAACGTCTGGGCCGGTCGGCACTTCCTAATCTACTCAGTATGAGACAAAAATTAATGTCGCTAAACTGTGCAAGTGATTCTTTAGTGGTCTTTTGAAAGAACATAAACATAACAATTTCAGTGTACTTGTTCTGACGGCAAGCACACGTGTGTGAGTTTACAACTAACTGAGTGAGTTTACCGGGTGTTTTTAAATTATCCGACGAACAATACCAATCAAAATACCATTAGGGTATGTCGCAGATAATTATATGCAATCTGTAACTTACTAGTAACTAGAAGTAAAGAGATAGCGAGACAAAGGACCTATTAATGTGTAGGATGATATAACTATTATAATAATTTGGTACTTATGCGGTTAAGTGTAGTAATAGCATACATGGTTAAATGTTATAATTCAATTTCAACCATACTGAACGTAAATAGTTTTGATAACTGTATAAAGTTGTTGGCAATGCGGGCAAAGTTTGCGTGTCCTTGTTCACAAGTACCAGAACAGTGCAGACAACGAGATGAATAATAAATTGATGCTTTTGCAATTCACTTTTTCGGTTTGTCGCTGTTTTATGTTGAATGGACAAATACTACGATGCTATTTTCAACTTTTTGAGATGACATTAAAGTTGTAGTGTTCTGACAGAAAACAAAAAATAGATAGAGCCAAGAAACTGCAAATATTGACATAACACCATATAAATAGGCGATAGTACCGAAACAATTTGTTGATAAAAATTGTTAATATTCATTTGTTGCATGGTGTTTAGTAATATTCACGTTGACCGGCTGACAGACCTGCTTGCTTACCCGGAGTTCCTGCGACAACATCTGGTGCTGGAGCGTCTGTATGCTCCTGTAAGTCTAGGTTTGTGGCAGAAGATGCCGACGTACGGTCTCCAGGAGGGACGTAGTAGAAACCCTCGTGATGAGCTGCACTGCCCACACAGGCGGTCAATGGCGCCAATGTAGATAGGAACTGTCGTCTTGGCTCTGATTTGGGCTGTGGAAAACACTTTTATGTAGGCAAGGAACAAAGACGTTGCTGTACCTACAGTTACTATACATACACACACACACACTTTAAGATTGTAGTGCAGTAGTTCTCATTGTCTTTCGGTATGTCAGCACTTTGAATAATTCGATGTATAATATCTAGCACGTACTTATATATAGCTACATTTATCTATCGCTCAACGTTTTAATGATATGTTTTATTCCCCTTATGATAATTTTCGCGTAGGTTATATTGTGTACAGCACAATGTGCATAACAACTAAAAACAGAGTTCTTTTATTCTTCTTTGATAAGATAAATTCCACCTACCCGTTGAAAAACTTAACTTCAACTTAAATCCACCTATTTATATTCTATGCTTAAATTTGTAGTTACTCAACTTCACGTTTCTTTTATATAAATTATAATCAACAGAGATAAGTCGGTTGCAAAAGTCACATGAAAATAGGATAAAAACTGTTACACCGACGACAACAACAGGATGCAACCGGTATATAAAATAAAATTCTTTATAAAGACTTTTTTAAACAAGGTTTTTCAGTTGACTCAATTAGTCCCAGGACTAAAAACTTCGTAAAAATTTTATGATTTTATACAGCCTAGCTTTTATAGTCTCAAACTAAACGTGTAGATAGAATTTCGATTCAATCGATTCAAGATATTTGCTTCTTCAAAGTTTGTGCTACGTAACAAACGAAGTAGCAATAATACGACCAACTCATAATCACAGCTACATATCGCGCAAGAACATCACCACATATCGATCAAAAACGAATGATTTTACTAGTAAACACTTCGAAGCTAGAAAAAACTACATTAAAGTACAAGTAAGTTACTAATAGTTCTAAAGTATAGTTATAATGTCAAAACGCGAGCTCAGCATGTAGTAAAAATACAGTTCCTACAAAATGTGCTAGTTTTATCCTAAGCGCTAAATTGAAACGCCCTGCTTTCCCAGCATCAAATTACCAAGCCTTTGACACATTTCCAACCCCTCTGGCCACGTTAATTATTCACATACCTACCGTCGTAAGAAAACAAAAACAATTTGTTATGCGACGACATAAGACAGTTTGATTAAGTGGAGAAAATCTCATACACCCACGGTGTTTGTCATTCTCACAAAGGACCTTACCTTTTGTGGCTCCTGATGTACGTCACCCAAGTCGGGGGGAAGCTGGCGTGTGGGCAGAGGCACTGATATTGTCGATGACGACGAGCTCGACGATGCGCTGCCGAAAGCTTTCTCGCTGTTTTTGTCGATACTATTGTAGGACTTATCGCTTGATTTGTCACTGCTGCTCGACATTTTGTCGGCATTCGCTCCGGCGGGCGATGCTCTCTGTTCCTCCGGCTCATCTTCGACGTCACAAGTTAGTAAACGAATGCGCTCGGCGAGGGACGTCGTTTCCTGCTGAAAGGAGGACGTATTGTTAGTCGACAATACTGAGCAAATTGTTTCATCGACTGCAAGACAATAGTACAATAGAAGTTTCCCGTCTCACGTTCTATGAATTGCCAACGACGATTCTTAGTTGGGAACTTGCTTTAAATGAATCGTGTGCTACATGAATAGCTGTAACACTAAACCTGAGATTCCTCTAGAATATTAGCACGAACAATAAACGTTTCTTACACAGTACATTGTACTAATGTATTTCATAGTGTTACAGTACGGATATTTTTTTATTCATGTTTAAATGCACTCTTGCATGGTAAACCCCACATGTGCTTGGCAGACATGTAGTTGATAAGTCATGTAGGGTCTTATATATCTGTTTTGATTGAAAATGCAAAGTATTTAATAAAAGTGTGGATAAAGCTGTCACGTCGCTATAAAATGGACATGGACGTGGAAATAATGCATCGATGTGAATAAAAGCCATATTGCCCGTTCACTTTTTCAGTCAGCTTTATTTTACTAGCCAGGCGTCAAATTTTAAAAAGAATTGAATCAGACATAGTTCGAAAGCATTTTATTCTTCACACAAAAATATATAAGTTATCATTAATGGATTAAACCGCAGAGCGCATTCGTTAAAATTTATAATAATGTCTGATTTACATATACTCAATTTAAATTTTACAGATAAAATTCAACAGCAGTGAGTTCAATCCACAATTGTTTTCACATATATTTTGAATCTGAAGTCTCGGAAAACCAAATGAAGTAAAATTTACGTCAGATACATCCTGAATGCACGGTTGGCGCAATGACTAGTCTACTGTGCAACGTGTCCCGGGTTCGATTCCCGCACGGAACAACACCAAATTATTGTTCCGGTCTGGGTGGCTTGTGTATGTGAATTTATAAGTTTGTAAACGCACCCAAAACACAATAAAAAAACTACAGCGAACAAAGTTCAAAAAATAAAATTTTAAATAAGTCCTTGTAATTTTGGAATACCTACCTACTATTTCTGCTACAAATAAACTTTGCCTAGATTGCCATTGATTCTGTGATAATTGTACAAGACTGGTGTAGCTTTCCTTAGAATAAAACTGTCCACTTGCGTAAGGTTTTACTCAAGATTATTAGCCTCGCTATCCAAGTCCAACGCTATTCCTGGTTTTCTTAACTTTCTTAAGTTTCCTCCAAGTAATATTTACTACAATGGTTAACATTTTTATGTAAGTATTTAAAGTTAAGTAAGTACGTCGTGAGAATAAATTGTCGTTTCCTATTGTTTCTTCCTGGTACCTAACCTATAAAGTGTCTGTAAACTACTAGTAAACTGCTTGTTTTCGTTTTGTTTTCAGAATATATGCAGTTGAATTTGAATATGGTTAAAAATTCAAAATGTGTGTATTTGTGTAGTTTACGTTTCGAACTAACAATATTCCATTATTTTTATTCTTTATAATTTTATTAAAGTACAAAAATGTAAAGTTTTATTGTTTGTTGTCAATTTTTTAAATGCGTATCGCAGCTTATATCCCATAGTTAAGAGGAAGCCATTTTTGGCTTTTGACTACATGAGAGATGTTACTGTTGTATAATTAAAAGTAAAACATATCATCACGTCCTCTCGATCATGTGATACTGTTTATGTTGTTGGCAGAGCGAATACTAAACTTGTTTCCATAGGTATTCGAAGATAGATTCGCCGATCGTCAACTGTCTGTCGTAATCTCAGTGCAAATGACAGGCTAGGTCGGGAGCATGAATCAGTGCCTGACCTTTGAAATATATATCTCTAGCTTTCTTTTGCTTCTCAATAGATTTGATATAAGTGGAGTACCTAAATCGTTATTAAGATTTCTTGTAAAAATAAAAGTAGCCTACTTCACAATGTCTTTAAGGGCCTCTACGTGTTCGATACCTATAAACTTTTTGTTATACATTTATCTAGAACTTACGCTAAGGTGTTGAAACAGGCGCGTAAATTAAAAACTATTTTTCGTCACGCGAATGGGTGAAGCTGGATCAATATTTACGTGACGTACAAAGTAAATCACAAATATTTTCTAGGTAATATTTTAATCTTTACTGTATTGAAGAAAACACATATCACGGATCTTTCTATTTATTAATTAATTGATTGTTATCACACGTGAGTGGATATTATTTGTGGTAACTGTACTTACATCTATTTTCAATAGTCGAGTCCACTTCTTAGTCATTTGTACGGTGATAAGCGATGTATTTGATACGATTATCTAGGAAAACAACAGGTAAAAGACAGATGTTATCCAGCCTGTACTGCTGCTAGCCAGGCAAGGTGCTGGCTCCTTGGAGCGGCGTGACGTTGAAGAATGCTTAATCTCTTCCATTTTAATACCGAGTCTGGTATTTTAATATTAAATTTTACCATTAAATTCTTTGTAAAATTTTGTGCGAATATTATTGTAGAGAAACGCCACGGGAATAGGAACTAGAATATTGCAGGACACTGAATGCTGCTTAAAATAATATTATAATATAATTTTCTGTTCGCTTTTGTCGAATACGATATTGTTACGCAATGGATAGAGAATATTGTATATAAATTGAGACGACCTTAATCCAATAAGTTGTAAGAATAAAATGTCATTGACTGGGTTCAATCATACATATAGATAGGTACTCCGGGCAATACTAGAATGTCGTTGGCTTATCCAATTACATTAGTTGAAATGTTAATAGTATTTACGTATGTACGATTTATTTATGTGCTGGAATTTCATAGGCATGTTTATGCTGACGTCATTGTTTATACGAGTATATCGTATTCGATCTTGGGGCGGATCGCGTTAAAGCACAACCGTGTTTACATAATTATAACGAATATTATTTATTTACGAAATGCCCCACAACAATAGCAGCTGCCTATTGACGTTATGTGTACCTTCCAACCATGTGTAAGTCAACGAGATGCTGGCATTTAATGCTATCATTATCAATACGATGGAAGAATTAGTATTTTACAAACCTAAAGTCTAACTTTAAACTACAAGACTGAGTAGTGATTCACTCGCACTATTCAGATAGATATGCTGCCTTGTCTGATGTCACTGTGAAACGTATAGCATCTTAGCCGTCTCTTACGATAGACTTGGGAAAAGAAAGAAGGTGACAAATTGGTACACTAACTGTTAATTTACTATGTCCTTCCATAAGGAATATATAAATTGTATGATGTGTTACGATAAATCTGGTTGTTTAATTGTTACGTATGTACCTATATTTCAGTACGTAGTACGTAGCTAGTTATGTGTATATATTACCATAATGACGTTATTCTCTATTCGATTACCGACTTACATATAATTCTACTCTTATGGATACCTGTTGTTGTATCTCCATCATTTGTTAGCCGTGCCATTTGGTTAAGATTATGAGGTATTTAGTATCTAGTATTTACTAATGTGCTTACAATGGCGTTGATTTTAGTATAATTTAGGCCAATTGACGTTAGGAAATTAAAGATATTGTCACCACAAATACTTCTCCACTAAAATGATGAAGAAAGAAGATGAAGCAGGAGAAAGAACAGGAGTTTTGTAGTCAGTAAGTCAGACACTTTCTATCGCCATACAATGGTCGACAGAAGTTATTTAATTTTGATGATTATTCCCTCCCAAAAAAGATGTGAACTTAGCAAGTAACAGTCTTCGTTCACTGCAAAAACTTGCACGAGTTTCTAAAACGAAAAGTGGACTTAAAAAAAACTCCTAACAAATAACTGAAATTTGTATATCGTTAGGAAGGAATTCGAACTACGAACCTGAAGCTGATAAAAACTTTAGTACTTATTAAATATTGGTTTAAAATACAGGGATGCATTGATTGTAAATCAAATATTGGGAGATAGTTAGGTATCGACTTATATGACATTTTTTTTTGTGAGGGAGATATCGTCCAATACCTCTCTGACCCAGAAGGGGGCGAGAGAGAGTGTGTTATTGACTAAAACCCCCCGTTCTTTCTCCTGTTCAAGGCCGCGGTTCCATACAGCGCTTGTCCCGCCACCCCGGCTGACATTACTTCATATTTTCAAATACTATTTGGACCTCTAATCGATGTAAGTACAGCTTTTTTATGTCAATAGATGTTTAAGGTAGACCAAATAAAGCATTTTAAGTAGGTCTCACATTAATTTCACATTAAGGTCTGAGCTTCATGTACATGTTTTAAGAAAGTAGATGAACGTAACCGCATATTTTTGAAAAAACTAAGAACCTACTAACAAAGAATATTTATGTTTACGGGACCTATTATTTAGCTGTCGTAGTAGTCCGGGGGTCTGATTTCAAATTACGAATTTGTTAAGTAGGTAACAATGTTTGTAGTTTTTTCGAGTTGTATGTAGGTACCTACTTTCTAAGATTATTAATAGACATCATTGACACACGGCTAGAAGTTCGAATTCGTCAATTCGCCTTTAACAAGCTTATCAATAGTTATTCCTCCTTCTCCATGTCAATCCGCCACTATTTAGCTGGCAATGGAAGTGTGTGTGCTCACTACTTTTATTAGGTGTTCTAATTATCAATACACGCTCAAGTTCAGGTATGTGATATAGGCAAATGTATTAATCGAGATTAAATTTCTAGGATTTGGTTGTAATTAAGGTGTAATCTATTATTTAAATTGGTTAATAAATTGGTAGGCCTTGTCTTGACTTGGCACAGTTAACCCAATTTATAGAGAGGTTTCTTCTATTTAAGTATACCATAATTTTGCTCCACAAGAAACCGGCAGTTGCAGTAATCTCCTTTGGTTATACGAGTGTCTATGGGGAGCATTTACCATCAGGTAATTCGTCTCTTCGTGTACCGACTTATAAAATAAATAAATAGAAAAACAATACAAAATCTTAAATCGTCAAAGTTTTGTGGAATAATGCTGAGGAATGGTAAAAAATAGTTAGAATAATAGTGGCACTTATTTCAATGACTCAAGGTAACTAACTAGCTTGCCAATCTGTTTTC